GTGTCCTCACTTCTCTCTCTGTTATTGTCTCTCCCTGATGAGGAAGTGTCTTTTTAATTTCCCTCCACCTTTTTATCTTTAGCTTCCCCTCTTGGTCTCACCGGGTTTCCTCCTCCTCCTCTAAAGCACTCTCTCAGGGGCTTCCTCCTCCTCTTTCATCACTTTTCTCTCCTTTCCACTTGTCATGTTTTCTTCTCTTCCTTTCTACTTTATTTTTTCAGTTTAATCTTTCATTTCTTTCTTTTACATCCTTCTTTTCCACATCAGTTCTCTCTCAGTTTCTTTTCATTTGTCGGGTATTTCACGCTAAAAGAGGAGGTGTGCATGAAAATGTCACCCTTCACCCCTTTTTTAATACATCCTCCATCACACCTTTACATTAGAATATTGATATTCTTATTCTTCTAAGTATAGAAACTTGACCTTCAAAGTCTGACATTATATATAATAAAATGTTTCTCAGTGAAGGCATCATATGTTATTAATTTTTGTCATGCACAACAGTCTGAGGAATCGATGTTAGAGAAAGTATTAAAGGGAATATTTCACATTTCTTCAAAAATAAGTCAAAGACGACTTCTCTCTGCACTCAAATAAAACAACAGGTAGAAAATGAATAAATGTTACTGTCTGTGTCTTTATCTCCTGTCATAATTGAGTACTTCTTTGGCAATTGCATTACCTTCCTCCTAATATCATTTTTCCCAGCGTGATAGCATTATGCATTGTTAAAGCCCTTCAGAAAAAAAGCACTTTGTGTTATTGTATTCGAGCGAAAGCTCATTTTCCCAACTGCATGTGTCAGCGTGCTCAGCAGAGCAGGGAATTATGGTTTGCAGAAGTGCTGCTCTGCTGCTCTGTGCTCTGCTGTCTCATCTGTATAATGTATAGTATAAATCTGAATGTTATAAAAACATAATGTTGCTTTACATTATAGTATGTTACCCAACTGGAAACCTGTGGACCAATTTTGGATCTGAGGCTGCTTATTGATTATTTGTATAAAGTTTTTGGGAGACCGGGGCTTGATGTCACACTCATATATTTCTTGGAATCAATACATCAAATATAAACAAAATGTGTACCAGATGAAAGACCAAAGTCTCAGGTTTATATTTCGAATTCATGTCATTTTCATATCTTGTGTCGGTGTAGAGTTATAAGAAATCAAATAGAGAGTGTGAACATGTGACAAGTTGCTCCACCATGGGGTTAGTTGTCTCACTACATGGGGTAAGATGTCACAGTGGATTTTGCAAGGAGAAAATTACTGTTGTACAGTAAAATGTATCACTGCTAGGATTTTAATCTGGAAGAAGCTTATTTTAAAATAGATAATAGACTTTTTAGTTGCGCCCTCTGGTGGCAAAGATAATTACAATGTGACAACTTACCCATGTAACATCAAGCCCTGGTCTCCCCTACATTTAAAACTTACTGCATTTACTTTGTTTAGATTAGGAGAGTTTCATGTATAATCCTCCACATATTCTCATGCTTGTCAAAGCGCTGGTTACTGAGTGAGCAAGTTTGCACATATTGTTGAGTTACATGTGAGTGTGTGTATGGTTATTATATGTACAGTATAAGTGTGGTTATAAGAGGAGGATGGAGATAGTTGGACTGTTATCTGTATATGTGCTTGTGTTTGAATGTGTGAGGGGAGTAAGAGAGAGTATGTACTGTTGTACTCATGATTTGGTGGTCTTGTTCCCGGCTTTTACGAGTGTATTGAGTCTATCTTTAAAATATCATGGGCATCATGTCATTTTTATCTCATATTTCAATGATTTTAATATTATATCTGCTTTCACTTTACCTGCCAAGGGACTACAGGCAGAAATGAGCAGTTGTTGCTATAACGTGGCTCAAAGAATCTCCTCTTGTTTTATAAGAATAGAATAGAATAGAATATTCCTTTATTGATCCCCCATGGGGGAAATTTTTTTGTCACAGCAGCATCACAGACAAGACAGAAAGTGCAAAATGCAGTTATAACAATAAGGGTCCTAATATTAAGAACTTAATAAATGTAATAATTAAGAAAAAAAAAATTGAAAAGAGAAAAGGGAGAAGAAAAAATAAAGCTTTCTGCAATATACACAATTTAAATGCCATAAAAAAAGTGGTGGTGTAAATCCAGTTTTTGTTACTGTTCATTGTAAAGTCTTATTGCAGAGGGGAGGAATGATCTGCGGTAGCGCTCCGTCCTGCAGGGTGGGAGTCTCAGTCTGCTGCTGAAGGAAGATTACGTTTTTTTGTGCTTTGTCCCTGTTTTAAATAATCAAATTCAATTCCATTTGATTCAGTTCTATTCGATAGATCCAGGGTACAATGTGCCTATAACAGTAGTTTTGCACAGATCTCTTATCATACAGTAAATGATAAGTGACACTGCCGTCAGATAGCTGCTATTCTCTGATCTTCACCTGTTCAGAAGTGATCCAGTAGGGGGCAGTATTGGCAAATCAGAGCCTGTGTTGTGCTGTGTAACCATTCACTCATATCTTTTAGTTGTTTGAGGTCAAAGGTGAACTTTGTCATTGTGTTTTGCTTCTTGTTAAGTACTTCATAGCACTCATTCATGATTTCTCTAATTTTAGAGTCACTGCAGAGCTGAAGCCGCAGTGATTAAAGTAAGTTTGGATCCGGCCTCTAAATCATCTTTTTATCTGTTGATCAACCCTCAGTTTTTAACTTGTGTTGACCACACACTTCTCTGTTCTTTTTCTTCAAGAAAGGAGGAGGTTGTTTTTTTTCTTTTTTCCCTCTTCACACACAACCACACACCTCTCTTCTCCCTAGAAGTAAAATGCTTTGCTTGCAGCGCACCTCAGCATTTTTCTTTCACTTGAATGCGATAGAGAAATGATTATTCATCCCACCCACTCGCTCACCCACTTTATCCGACGTGAACAGATCGCAGAGCCTCATCTGTGAATCAGCACCGCTGGGGTCATGCTCTACATCCTCCTGCTGCAACTGAGACGAACTTGTCAAAACTGTTGAAACCACAGCTTCCTGTGCCAAAGCATATTTTTACTGCAGCAGAACTGATGCATTACAAACGAGACTCGAATCAGATGCAGTGCAGGAGAAAACATATGCTGGTATGGTGATTACGTATGTCGAATCAGTGGTCTTACAACAGTGAAACAAACCATCATTAATCTAATGAATTGGACTAATGTTCACTCATTTACAGTCCCATTACAGCCAGGCCCAGTGGAGTTGAAACCACCATTAGCTGCAGCAGCAGATGTCGGTGATACTTTTTTTTTTTCTCTCCATGAACTTGACTTTGCAGCATAGTTGCAGTGGTGACACATGCCGCTGGCAGGAACACACCAAATTCCATCTTCAAGCCTCAAGATGTTTTAAGCAGAGGGGAGATGTTTGAACATGCCCATCCCAACGTGTGATCAGAAAGACTCATAAAGGCAGAGAGCCGCTCTTTCACAGAGAGCTGAAACATCAGGAGAGGTGGGCCACTCTGCTATGGTAATGAAATGGACTGTAAGCCCTACTCTGCTGTATGTTTATCTATAAACACCATATCCTCAATATAAACCTGACCACACTGCAAAGTTCTGTGAATTTTGAGACACGGATTCACGCTCTTGTAGCTGTCACACCCTCAGCTCTTGAAGCAAAGACTTAAATGAAAGTAAGGACTGAAAAAACACGAGAGCGTAATCTTCCTTAAAAAGTGGTACAAGTCTCTACCCAAATGTTAGTCTCTTGATGTCTTAAAGGGATGGTACGGGTTTTTTAAGTGCTATTGTTTTAGATGCTTGTCAATAGTAAGTTTATCACCAACAAGAGATCCTGGACAACTGATATGTGAACTGCAGATGGAGGGACAAGAATGTGATGTGTCCACAAAAAAAGACCAACAAAACTGTACAAAAGGCCTCATTGGGAGCACAGTGAGGACCAGTCTCCCTACCCTGACCAGTATCTGAAAAAAAAACGCCGATCTGACTGGAATCTCCTGTGGGTTATACACTCACTAACCAAAGGTATGATCATTTGAATCCCTTATTTGGGAAAAAAGGTTCATTTTTCACAGTGGGGTCTTTGAAAATCTTTAGAGCTCCTCTTTCTATTGAGCTCTATGGATCTGAATGAGCTTTAATTCTGTTTGAACGCCGTCCTTTCAGATCCAGACTGCAGCTTCTCCCTTCCTCCGGTCGCTCTTTCATGTGAACGGGCTGCGAAGTGCCGCTGGCTCCTTCAGAGGGCCTATCACTCCCTTCCCAGGGTCCTACAGGTAACATGAAGGGGTGCAGAGGGGGGGTGCTGGCTGGGGCCAAATGGCCTCATAGGATAAGCAGCCATTGTCAGCCATTGTCAATGCTACACCCACACTACGATCACCACTGTTATCTCCTGACCGGTTCCCAATACACAAACTGGGCTGCCAGGAAGGGGCCTGTTTGTCTGCTCCTCCACCCCCAGGCCTGACCTCACTCAACTCACTGTCCTTCAACTTGCACTGAAAGAGAGTCAAACTTTTAAGTGTCTCAAACCTCCTGCATACAGAACTTTACTAGAACACAGGTCAGGACTGGATCCATCAAAATAAAGTCTCAACCAAATAGTATTGTGCATTTTTTTGTGTGTGTTATTTAAATCATATAAGACATTATCATGAAGATATCTGAGTATGTTTACAGACTGCACATGGCTAAGAGATACCTTTAGGTACTTTTGTGACAAGTTTAGAGAACTATCATCTATTCAGTGGAGATAGTCTTTCTAAACTTTGATTCTCTCAGAGGTTTAGATGGCTCTCTCCATATCATGAAAAAAATTGGATAATTATACAAGAATTTGCAGGTTCCATTATTTCCATCTGTGTTGATGACTTTACTGAAAGATTTTGATAAAACTGGACTTTTGCTTGTAAAGTAACAACAGGTAATTTTCTGACCTGCCCACTCTGCTCTGAAACCTCCCCCTTTCTGTTCCAGGCTCCGCCCCGTCTGTTATGACCAATCAAGTTCAAGGCACAGAGATTCCTGGATCTCCAGGGTTAGAGACCCCTGATGTGTTTGAGTTCAGTGAGGAAGTACTTGAGAGGAGCACTTCACCTCAGACCCTCCAGGGTAGTGGTAAAGGAAGAAGGACACAGGAACATGCATCCCACCTCAGGTATGTTTAGAAAGGGGAACATGAATAATGAGACATTCGAGGGTTGTGTTAAGCTGGCATATTGCATGTCAGCACTTGGTCTTTGAAGCATTTAAAGCAGTCGGTATGGAGTTGTTTATATTTTAAATCGCTAAACTTTGCATTGACATTTTTACCATTGCACTGCTAACTTGCAGTAATTACTTAAATGATCTAATCCACCAAAAATAGATGTCATTGCTATGCAGAATTACATGTAAATATTGCGTCTTTCCTTCTTTTAGCTATCTGCAAACACATTTAGGTTTGTGCATGAATCCTGCAGCAGACATGTTGTTGTGTGTGCTGATGTTGCAGAGTTGTTTACATGTGCATTGTTTCTACTTTCTTCACAGACTCCAGACTGAACCCTAACATGCCCCTGTCTCCTCCAGCAGCTGACTCACACCAGCAGGGCTGCGTCAGGATGAAGCTGGAGAACACTGATCTGTGGAAATCCTTTGACAGAATTGGAACAGAGATGATTATAACAAAGCATGGAAGGTAGTCAACATTTTCCAACTTAAGAGATGCTGTAATTTTAGGCTTGCAGCAGAGTTTTTTTTCTTTTCTTGCCTAAAGTCTGGAATATTTATTTCAGGATGGAAGTAGTTGAGAAACCTGCTTTGCAAAAAAACTAATCTGGATGTCTTGATTTGTTTCAGGAGAATGTTTCCACACTGCAGCATCAGTGTCTCTGGGCTCCACCCTTTGGCAAATTATGTCATCATGGTGGACATGGTTCCTGTGGACAACGTCAAATACAAGGTGAATACAAATGCATCAAAAAACTGAGCGCTGTTTGCACCATCTCACTTCCTTACTTCAGGCAAAGTCTGTTCACTTAGTGTGAAGAGTTTTGATGTCTTGTTTTGCCTTCTGTATGGACTGAGCCCAGCGGAGGATTACAGTATGTAAAACACAGCAGTCTGCAGCCAGACACGGGCCTGCCCACTCTGGGCCGTTCACCGCTGCATTTCAAAGCCTTTCATTGCTTCCTGTTTGTGCGCTCTCGGCTGGAGGCCCAATCAATTAGCATCCCTCCCTATTCACAGTGGCTAAATGAGCAGTCGGCCATCCATCCACTCAAAGGCTCTCACTTCAACTGCTGTGGCCCATTTGGTCGCAGGTATTGCAGTTAGCACGCACTTGGAAAAGAAAGTACTACAGAAGAGCAACAAAGGAGTTTGGACTCTCCAGTGGTAGAAACAAGGTCTTTATTTCAGCAGCCTTTAATTAACCCTCCAGTTAGAAGGTTTTTATGTACTTGCGTCTTATTGCAGTGACAATGTGAACATTTGGGTTAAATCAGGTACTCTTAAAATTGCAGTCTGTTAACCTTGCATCCCTCCTCTTACCATTTTCTCTGCAGTGGAAAAAAGAGCAGTGGGAGGTTGCAGGGAAGGCCGAGCCCCAGCCTCCGTGTCGGACATACATACATCCCGACTCCCCTGCACCAGGAAGCCACTGGATGAAGCAGTCCTTGTCTTTTCTTAAGATGAAGCTCACCAACAACACCCTGGACCAGCACGGTTATGTAAGACACAGTCCTTCTTTTGTAGATAAAATTCTATTTTGAATGTTTTCACCTTTTGCTCATTCAACTCTTTTTTTTACACCCTTCAGATCATCCTACACTCCATGCACCGCTACTACCCCAGGTTTCACATCACCCAGGCGGACAGTCCTTACACAGTCCGCTGGGGCCCATTTCAGACCTTCTCCTTCCCTGAGACAGTCTTCACTGCAGTCACAGCCTACCAGAACTCAAGGGTACAAGTTTATCGGACAACTTTATTCAACATTACCCCAAAATATGTTAAGTTAGAAACACACTGATAATTTTCTTTTCTTCTATTTAGATAACCAAATTGAAGATCGACCACAACCCCTTTGCTAAGGGATTCAGGGAGGGAGGAACCCACTCCCACAGCAAAAGGTAGGGTTGAGATTTTGAAAATGGATCAATGTTTTTGCAGGTTAAAGTCAAAGGTTGTTTTGTGCTTCTTTCCCAGTTAATTTGGGTAAATATTGTCTCCCTGTTTACACTCTTCTCATTTTTTAAGTTAAATTTCGTCAAAGTCCATGTAGAAAAAAGATTTTTCCTTTAGGACCTTTAGGCCGTAGACATGCTTTAATTTTTTTTTAAATGTGTTTCATTCATAGATGTCGCTCAAGTGGAAGCCCTCCAGCAAAAAGAGCCACACTGCAGAAAAGAGTTATTTCCAGAAGTCCACCATGTAAGTGATCCTAAAGCTTTTTATCATACTTTTTCTTATAAACCAAATCATCCCCATCATTCAAAGTGCCCGTGTTTTGATACTGTAAGATCCTCATCAGCACTGTATTTCCCTTTCAGGCCTGCAGAGGATGCCCTCCACCTCTCAGTCAGAAGAAGCAGGGAAAAGCCAGTCAGTGAAGGAAGGGGACCTCTCAGGCTGGGCTCTGGAGCAGGACCCCACTGAGAGTCTCCACGCTGAGCTCCTGGAGCTGCCAGAGAATGACTACGGCTGTGAGGAACAGATGGTGCCCGCCTCTGTGCCATACCAGCCTTACAGGTATGAGATAAGACACTGAGGAGGAGATTTGATAAAGTGATTACATTCATTAAAAAACAACAAGGCCTTAATAGTTACTCAGTTATGCTGCAACCACAGGAACCCTCAAAACTACACGACTGATTAAAGATGCATGCAGGGATGGTAATCATAATTTTAACAGTAGTGTCACTTTCATGCCTTTCAGATCCTTGGAGTATCCCAGGTATGCATTACCCCCTAATGACACAGATGTAGCCCCTACCTCGGTCCACCCTCCACCTCATCCACTCGCCATACCTGAGCAACAGCTACATACAAGCTACTACAACCATCCTCACCAACACAACCATGCAGCGGACTGGAGCCAGTACCCTCTCTTCTCCTACTCCTGCTGGTGACCTCTGAACCACGTCACTGATAGAGGACGGATCCAGGACAGCACTGGAGCATGATGTTACTGGTAGAGAAGGGACTCCAGTGGTTTGTTTTCAGAGTGTATAATTGTGTATAAAGTATACTTACTGATGATTGAATTGTATGTAGGAGGTTATTACTGATTCTCTCAGTTTTCGTAATATGAATCTGATCTGTGTTTGTAAATCCCTGAACACACACGTTTGTCGAACCCATGGCACAGTCGTGTTGAAGCAGCAGATGAATGTATATTGTATATCATGAGATACATTCAGTCAACTGGGAAATAAATGTATGTTATTAAATCTGCAGGTTTGATATAAAAAGAGTCTTATATATTATGTACCAGACTTTTAATAAGACTGAAAGTAACAGATGAAGTATCAAGGGTTGATTCTGTCTTTATAAACGTCTGACTGCTGAAATTGCTTTAAGGCACATGCAAGTACTGAGAATATATTTTACTTTAACACCAGACTGCTTGAGAGTCCTATCAGAGAAGTCATATTTTGTACCTGCATCAAAAAGTGACAGACTTGTGTTTTTGAATGGAGAATCTGCTTAATAAATCTGACTTTGAGCTCAAATTCAGGCAAAAAAAGTGTCTACTGCAATGTGACTATTGTGTAGAGATGTATTATTTGAGACATTAGCACACCCGCATGGTTACAATAAAGCTAACTTTAGAAAAAATGATGATTAATGGGTTTACTGTCTCAATTAAGCAGGTGAGAGTGAATTTATTTGATAGCATTAGCACTGAGTTTGAACCATTAATCCTTGTAAAATACACCAACTGACAACAGATATTATCTCATGATGCCTCAATGAAAAGGCTGGTCTAGACTATACACTCAGTGATATGAGCAAAGACCCAATATAAAGCTTGGAAAAGATAGAGGCCCATCTTGATGGATCAGACCCACTCTTACCCTATCTTTATCTGCCATGAATAAATCACTTAGCAGCATTTAACAAGCTACAGTGGAGAGGAAGAACTCTTTTAACAGGCAGAAACCTTGAGCAGAACCAGACTCATGTTAGACAGTTATCTACTGAGACTGTAGTCATCTCCTGAAGTTACAGAGGGGGCTTAGTATTTCAGAAACTGAATGATCATTATGATAGAGTGGTCGTAGTTCGACTTGTGGCAAATCAGAGTCAACAGCTCTTTAGCAATAGCATAGCATTGATAAAATAGTTTGAATTTCCTTTAAAAAAGTATCTATCTATCTATCTATCTATCTATCTATCTAAAGTTAAGGTTAGTTATGGGGGTTAGAATGAGAAAAATGGCTTTATAGCAAAGTTACAAATGGAGAGACTGATGCTAATCGATTAGCATTAGCTTTGTGACAGTGTTGAAAATGTTGGGACTGACACAAGTATTTGAAGCAGCTGGATTTCTGCAGTTGCAACTCAGAGGAAGTTATGGGATGAGGGAGCTCAGGGAACCCCAGAAAAGTCTGTTGGTTTTGCCTTTAATAGGGATGGAGAGAAAGGTGCTTGCTGTTCCAGTCTATACCTATAGCAGTATGACTAAGAGCTGATAGGTGATTGTCTCATATAATGTGATTTTTGACAGCAAATGTTTAAAGACGCAGTGATACTTCTGCACAGAAATATAAAGTACTTTGAGTACGTTATCTTTGGACTTGGGGTATTCTGTTTTAGATATTTTGAGGTAATTTATCATTTATCTTGTGCGTTGAAATGTGGACTTGACAAATGCTAGTGTTGGTAGAACAATTGGGCATCATGAGTCATCTTCATGGGTTCATTAATATATGTTCAAAAATTTCATGGCGACTTATCCAATAGCCTTCTAAAATGTTAGTGTATGTACATGAGTGTTCGGGTTATTCTTACTTTAACATTAGCGTTCATAGAGCGATGTAAGAAAACAGAGCTAACATACAGCTCTCTGTTCTTATGACCCTGCTGCTCTGGTTATCCGCTGACTTCCATACACTACTATATTAAATGTCACAACAACAAGCTGTTTCATCAAATCATCTCAGCATTAGCGTTACACAACACATTCGGGGGCTAGAAAGATCGGGAATGATTTGGCTCTGAGAGACCGTCCCCGAGCAGATAGTCTGACCTGATAAAGCAATGACAGACAGCAAGCGTGGAATTACCATCACAGTCTGGCATAGTTCCCCCAGCAGAAGGCAGGGACGTCTGTGCTGTAAATGTTTTACGAGAGAGAGAGGAGAGTCGTATCTGGGACATTTATAAAGCTTCGGGGAGCGCATACTGCAAAGGCATTTTCTAGAACACATCAATTGATGTGCTTGTGCGTAACACACTTTTATAACATCACTGTAAAAAACACACACAAAGAGGCAGTCATGAGTAGAATCAAACCTGGAGCCAATAAGGTTTCACTAGCTGGTTAAAAAGGATACCATAGTAGGCGGACATGTTGGCTGTAAGAATCATGTTCTGATCGGAGGATGGTTGGTTGAACCTCCAGCATTTCCTGACATAGTCCAGGTCATCTGGGTCACCCATATAGCTCATCCTGGATTCCTCTCACCTCACTGTAAAATGAATTATAGGCCGCAGAAGGGGTCAATTAGTGTGCTCGAGTTATAATTCGAACACCTCAGGGTACGGGAGCTGTGAGTCAAAGCTCTTCTGATGTATCCTACACTAAAAAACATCACTGAAGGAATATTCTGTATAATGTTCAGGGCTTTTTCTGCGTTTACATAACAGAGAAGTTACTTAAATCTGATGTCTTTGCTCATTTTCTTTACATGCAACACTCTGAGCGTCTGTTCTTGTGCTTACTTGGGTCGAGCATTTACGACACCCGGCGAGAACTAAGTGGATAAAGCTTTATTGCAGAGAAAGCCACGAAGCAAGCTTCATGATACCATTTTTTCTGCGCGCCTGTATAATCATGGCAGATGTAAAAGAGGACAGAGAAAGCTAAGAGAAGAAACAGATCCTGAAGAGGAGGAAGTCTGATCAGTAAACTGCAAAAGTATACATGTGAATATACACATGAAATGACTAAACTGCAAATCCTGAATGGAGAACAAGAAGAAAAATGGTGGTATAAAAAGATTAATTAGTATGACTCAGATGTTACAGTGCAGATTAATCATCTCACCCGCAAATAAACTAAAAAATTTAGGGATAAAATATGAGGGTCTTTAAACCTGTACACACTAGTGACAGGACAAAACTGATTGAAGCCTTAGAAAGTCAGCATACTGATGTACACATTGTACTTTATGGTCATTAGCAGAGTACTGATAGATCCTTAATGGTGTCTAACTGTTGTGGCTCCAAAGTCTCAAATATCCTCAGCAGAGAAAATGTGGGTTTCAAGTCCAAACAACAAAACAAGAAACTTGCGAGTTCATACATCCAGATACAGAGTCTTAATTTTGTAACTACGAATACAAGAGAATTCATGTTTGATGACGTATTTATCTCTTTATGTAACCAGATTATTTTCCCGTTTTTACTGAAAACATCTTTTCTTCGAAGCTTTAGATGGTGAAGAATCGCTGTGCATCCACCTCTATCACTTTTGGCCAGATACTCTGCATCACTGCAGCTGCCATCACAGATAGTTGGAGGGTGGTGATGGTAATGGACTGTAGGAGGGCCGTCATCGACCTTGCTTCTCGTCCATTTACACACATACACACAGTGCCCGGAGGAGAGGTCAGAGTCAGCTAAGTTTGATTCATTATGGTCATCTCAGTGCAGCCGGGGCCTATCACGACACCGAGGAGCACATCGACTGGCTTTAATGGCAGTTTAACCAGGAGCACACCAACACACTCACAGAGAGAGAGAGCAGGGGGGGTCAACACACTGTTTTACTAACCATGGAGGAGTTTTGATATCATAGATCAGACTGGGCCCACGGAAAAAGGAACCTAAAAAGACCATCAGCCTCATCGTTATTATCCCTGTTTCAATGCTAACATTAATTTTTCAAATACCTTGACTTAACTGCTCTTTTTGTCAAGTGTCTTGAGATTTTCACATTTGCTTGTTACTGAACGAGGCTCCACGGCTTCAAGATTGGAGCTTAGATGAGCGCAATCAGGTATGCCTGACATTGGACAGTAGATCTGCTGCTGTTCACTCTGTGCTATAAGAATTTTCAATAAATGTTTAAAATGTTTTCACGTTTGAGATTTGTACGATGTCATTAGTTTTCTCCATAAACTACCACTCAAACTTGTGGTTACGTATCTTATTTGACTTTTCCAACTGGTGTTCTCAAGACGGAATTAGTCAAAAATATTAATTAGAATTATAATATTTTTTATCGGGACTTTTATCTTTATCGCCAGAATGGTAAAACTTATCGTGATAGATTTTTTAGCCTACATTACGGGCCTTTGTCATGCTTGGCAACAGACAAAAGACAAACTGGAGAACCCATCCATCCATCCATTTTCCACCGCTTATTCTCATTCCTGGGGTCGCGGGGGGGCTGAAGCCTATCCCAGCATCTCCGGGCAAAGGCAGGGGATACCCTGGACAACTCGCCAGTTCGTTGCGGGGCTTACATACAGAGACAAACAACCATCCATGCTCACATTCACACCTACAGGCAATTTGGAAGTGGCCAATTAACCTAACCCAATTTAGGCATGTTTTTGGGATGTGGGAGGAAACTAAAGTACTCGGAGTAAACCCATGCAGACACAGGGAGAACATGCAAACTCCACTAAGAAATGCCCTGAGTCGGATTTGAACCTACAACCTTCTTGTGGTGAGGTGACAGTGCTAACCACTACACCACTGTGCCGCCCCAAACTGGAGAACCTCAGGCAGAAAATGTAAAAAGTTGTATTTTTAAAAATAATTTTTATCTTATGGGATTTGATACCATAGGCATGGATAACGAAAATGACAGAGTGCTCAGAGAACAATACATCTCATTGTGATAAGGTGGTTATGGACTCACAGTCCTTGGGGAGAGTAAATATGAATATTTAGAGTCATCCTAGTTTATTCATCAGTAAAATCATCAAATGTCTGCAAATGAATGACACCTCTGAAAACCAGACGGCTCAGATTGCGTTTTATTCTCAAGGGCGGTTTGGGTTATTTGTACCTGGTTTGAAGGTGCTGGACAAACACAGAACACGACCATCTCAAAGGCTGCCCTTGAAAAGTTTTCCGTTCCCCATCTGTAGATCAGCTGACGTTCTTTTATTAGCACATCATTAAAATTCATTAATTGCTTCCTTTCTCCTGGGCTGAGCCAGAATCAAAACTGGAACTGTCAGAAATGAGAGCAGGAGCGACTGTCCTGTGCTCCAGATACACAACCTGTGACGCCAGACTGCTGCAAACATGTCCACAACCTCCATCTGTACACCGAGAGGACAAAGACGACGAGACGGAGCGACTTAAAGAAGTAGACGTAAATTTTATTTACTTGTTCTGTACATAAAGGGTCAATACCAGCACAGGTGTTAACCATGGGAAATATTAACACATGTAAATGGTATAAGAAAATAAAAGGCACAATTTTCAATTCTTAAGTAAAAGACAGGCTTTTCTAGAATATGAGAAGAGAGCACAGTAATACTGTTAATGCCATTAGGAAAACAATTTCAAAGCATGAGAAAAGCAAGTTCACCTCAAGAAGAGAAATGATCAGGATGTATTGCTTAATTAGTCGATTTCATTACCTTTGATGAGAAGAAACCACGTTGGTTTGTTTGTTTGCACAGACCAGGTGGATTCAAATAAGAGAAACCTTTATTTAATCAGAAAAAAAAAACAAAAAATGACATTAAGCAGCATTGGGCCGGATCGAACCATCTCCCCGGCCGAGAGGTCATGCACAGAGGCAACCAGCAGGCATTTTTCCCTTTTGTAAATGTTACCATAGGTACTTTTTGTTTAACATCACTCGCTGTTAACAAAAAAAAGAAATGCATGATTTAAAAAGCTGAATATAACCTTTCAAAAGAAAACAAAAAACAAACAAACAAAAAACAGACAAGAACAACTAAAAGCTGCACAAATACAACTGAGTGACCGGCCATCCAAAGATTTCAGCCAAAAGCACGAAGAGAATCAGGGAGTAGTTCATTTTTACAGCAGAACTCTTGGGGTCGGCACTATCTGCACAACTGTCGGATTCTGGGACGCTTCCCTCCTTTCCAGTAAAGTACGTTTGCATAAAATGAGACCATAAACTGTGCACAGATCAAAAATTCACCATATAAAGCTGTCTGAAATCCTAACTTGACACTGGGAACATCACGTTAAAAAAGTCAGAGAGGGCGCTGCATGCACCCACAGATGCATTTGACACCCTCTGAGAAAGGCATTGATGGGGTCTCATTGGCTTTGCTGATACATTTTCACCTCTCCTGACTTCCACAACTGAGATCTGTGTTTCTCACCTCCGGTCGTCCTGCCCACGCTGCGTTTTAAGCTAGCCTTTGCAGTCAGATGCTTGTGGGAAGTGCTGGCCAGGGCTGCTGCTGCTGTTGCTGTTTGACTTTAACCTTTTAGATTTGCACTCCTTCGCTGCAGAGAGTTAAAATTTATCTTCTAGAGCTCGGTACTGTTGGCACTACAGACCTGCTAAATTCTAAGCAATGTCCTGTTAGTTGACAATAAGTGGCTGATAGTAAAGAGAGGTACTAAGTGGACATGCACAGTCACCCCTATAGACATCTTCTCTATGTCACAAATCAAAAATAAAAGGAGAAAAAGCAAAGAGAACTATTGTTGATCATGTGGCACGAAAAAAAAAAAAAAAAGATGAACTCACAAATGGCCTTGTCATGTCTTATTAACAAACGATAAATAACTCCTGTCAGCCAGACTCACGCCAGGAAGAGCAGACCGTGAGTCCAGCTTCCTCCTGACTCCACCTTCACATCACATACACGTCAAAAACCTGTCAGCCTGAATTACTAACTGCCCATGAGTGTGTGTGTGTGTTTGTGTGTGATTGCATGATGGTTAAGGTACGACAGTGACTTGATTGTTTGGAGAAGTAACATTTGACTGGCTGGTTAGTTCCTCATTGCCTCAGTGCTCTCCCAAGTCCATAGGGATGTTGCGTTTCCCTACTTTGTACAAATATCCTCACGTCAACAAAAACAAACACACACCAACGCGCTTCCGAAGTCCCCAAGACGCCAAACAGAACAAATATTCAGAGAGTCAAAAAAAAAGAAGAAAATGTGATGGTGAATATCTATTGAGAACACACACGCACACACACACATGCACTTATACATACATACACACGCACACAGACAGACACACTCACACTGATGCCCAGTGATCTGGAAATGAAAAGGACACTAAAATGCAAAAAACACTGCCCAGCCTGGAACCAAGACACGGGGAAAAGGAACTGGGAGAAGTGGGGTCAGGTTTTAGTTTGGATCCAACGTCCAAAGCTGTAAACTGTCAGAAAGCCTTGCGACGGTTGGCAACAACAGAGGGGTTGCTATCATTGTACCGCAACAAGCAGGCAAGCACGTAACCGAGGTGACACTGGCGGGAAAGGGTGGAGACAGCCAGCAAGTTCAGGTACGAGTTGATACTGGCGAGGGGGTCCAGGTGGACTCTAAGGTCAGTCACACTCGTCGGGATTCTGGGGGTCTATGATTTTGACGTGGGTGAATGGGAAGAGCCCCCTCCGCCCGTTCACCTCTCCTTCCCACTGACCGTTGATGTTCATCCGTGTTACCTTGACGATGTCGCCCACCTGTGGAGAGAAAAGACAGGAGGTTAGGAAAACGGGCATCTGAGACACTTTCATCGCAGGGGATCTCACAAGAAAAGAAAGAGGGAGGATTTCCCTCTGCGGAGGTCTGAACAAAGACGGACTTGTCGAACCTGCTCTATGATAAAGGAAGAAAGTGTGTTTAGCAGTCCAGGAGTCGTACCAGCATCTGTTATTCAGCAGCAACTGATTTCGCAGTTCAGTAGTATGAACAAATACATTATTATTGATTTTTCTGTTAAAGTGGAATAAATGAATTTTCCAAGTCTTAAAACTCTCAGCATCACTTCCATTTCTTTTATATTTCTGTGTTTGGTAACCCTTTCTTTTACTTATTACCAGGTAATTACCTAGTAACAACATGAAATTATCTGGTAATTACATGATAACTACTAAGTCAATACTGTCTAGCTACCAGGTAGGTAACCTTCCATCATCATACAAATTTGAAGCCGAATTGCTCTGGTATTTCCAGGATTTTCTCCGCTTCCTGGAACCACCACTTGCGCAGTAGCATTGTACGCATTAGGCGGGTGAGTCGATGTGATAATGCTCGGCTCAAACAGCGTATCGCTACGCAATCTTCGCACGCCCATAGGCTGTATCAAGTGTCAATCATAGAAAATAAGAACCCCAAATAGCTTTTGAAAATGGAGCTGCACAGAAAAAAGAAAAACTGGACAGTACTGACTTAGTAGTTATCATGTAATTACCAGATAATTTCATGTTGTTACTAGGTAATTACCTGTTCATTACCTAGTAATAAGTGTACCGTAAAAGAAAAGGTTTTGCACTGTTTTTTCTTTTAATTTTACTGTGCAGCACTTTGATAAACTTGAATGTTTTTTCTTTATATGTGCATTAAATAGAGTGGATTGGATTAAACAGCTGTGGCTTGTGAATGACAGTGTAAAGATTCTGCTGCATCAGTCCCACTGAGCTCTTCCTCTTATTTCTGTCCTTAACTCAAGTTTGACAGACTTTGATTCGGTCTTGTTCTTGCAGTGACATGCTGCTCTTCATCATCACAACCATCAGGGAAAACACGAAGCATCTTAACATGGGAGTATATGAAAGTCTGTCATATGTCTACTTTGCCCTAACTCATTTATTTATCAGTTCAGGACTAATGCAGCATCCTATGACCCAGGTCTAAAAGGTCAGGATGTTGGATAGGATGCTCATTATTCATTATAGACATATTATATTGTCTATATTGTTTCTCACACTGTGGCATCGACAGGTAGCGCCACTGTGGTCACTCCATTCCTCTCCTAAAGCTTTATCTTCATGAGTGACGTCTACCAAACACAATCGCTTCAGCCCCAATCCTGCCTCTTCAGCTGTATTTATTTTGAAAGTACCTCATAATTGTTTTATTCTCTTCCTTGCATTACAGTGGAAAGTTACAGTACAACCACAGCAGAGCAACGACCTGACGTCACAGGTTTCAGCGCAAAAGATCCACTTGTTTGATTCATTTGTATTTTATCATCAAAGTCTGTGACAGGAACCGAGTTATCCACACAGGTCTAACTCAGACACCCACAGACAGGGTCACTGAAACAGCTCAAAATGCTAAATGAAGCAGTGAGAGTTGCTACAGTGCTGTGAGTACTCTGGCTGATCCAAACTTAAGCTTTCTAGATCACTCAAGTCTTTCACCCAGTTAGAAGTTCCACTTGAAATGGAAGGGATGAGACTTTAGAGACTGGGACAGTAGCTGTTCAGACACATGGAAACATGGCTCCCCTGTGGGCTGATGAAAACAGAGTGGTACGATACTGCCCTGAAAAAACAAAATCACAGTGTTCAAGCTTTAAATCAAGCAGTCTGATCCGATTCAACTTCACTAGTTTTAACTAGATACTGCCCTACATGGGTGTACTGCACTGTTCAGCATAACATAATACACAAAGATAAAAAAGTTCAACAAGATTCAACAAAATATTAAAATGTTAAAGAGATAATGTGGCATAAAGTTAAGGTCAAACACACAGTAACACAGAGTAAGACACCCTCTCGAAAGATGAATGTTGTTGACTGCTTGCTTCTCTAGTTATGATGATTATTACTTCATAGAAATGATCCGCTGCACTCGGTGATCAGGGCTCCCCAACAAACAAGCGGCTATAAGAGCTTGCTGGCTGAGTTGGTGTTGCATCCGACCACAAGAGAATAAAGCAACAGTACGAGTGCCCATAAAAAGTACAGTTATGAACTGTTAATTTAAGACCTGCTCTGAGTTACAGTTGCAATGACTGAGCTTATACAACAACATGTAAAACTGTGTACCAGAGCTCCACATGCATACTAGACTGTGGTTTCTACTCTCCACAAGAGAGCACAGAGCTTTCACTCCGATGGGTTTGTGACACTGAATTTGACCCCAATCTGTTAAAGCCATATGTTCTTTATCAGGATTAAAGGAGAAAAGACTTCATCATCGAAAACATGATTGAAACTGGAATGTGAGGGAACACGGCACGCTATCTGTAGCTTCTACTTCGGAACAAGGCGTAAAGGACGACCAGTCCAAGACAATGTTTTTAACAATAACTCTTACACAATCCTGGAATGGCAATTATGCTACTTAATCACTAATCACACACTTTATCTCTCAAATGACAAAACAAAAGACCAAAACACAGTTTCATGAAACCAGACCGGTCTATCAACAGCACAAGAACAAATACTGAAAAGTCATTTTTATCAAAGTATATAACAGGAATAAAAGGAAAAGAAAGACCAGACTAGAGCTGACAAAAACTGTGAACGTGTATTATAATCATGGCCTAATATCATTTGTCGTTGCCCGCCTGTCTCGGAAATGAATAAATGTTGACTCATATCTTCTGCTTTTTTGGACCTCGGAGGCCCTAAAATAGCCACAGAACGAAACCAAAGGTTTTTTTTCTTTCCTGAAAATAATGGGCCCTGCTGAGTCAAAGACAGAGAGAGAGAGATAGCAGAGGCATCGTGACACCAGGTTAAGGTATGCTCAAACAATGCAGGGCAGAAGTTAGCCTGATATATTCAGAATACTGCCAGAGATACCAGACTTCAGGCTTGGTTCTGTCTTCAGTGTTTTTCCCTCTGAACACAGAAATCACATCACTGATTACTCCACATCACCTCAATGCAATCTATCCCAGCCCTGTGTGTATTCAGGACCAGCATGTTTAACTGACTAAAGGTCGTCACCCTCGCAGGTCAGCTGAATAAATTACACATTCTTCTATTATTCTAGTCACCACATACCACCTTCTCTCTCTCCAGGGCATGCCACAATGCATAAATGCATTAACAAGCAAAGATGGCCGTTACCACCTAAAGTGTGCCATTATTTAGAAGTATTATGATCTCACAGATCAGGGCTGTGTCTGGTTAAACTGGCAAATAACCATTGAGTAGAGCAACAAGCACGTGAACGTTAAACTGCAAGTTTCAAAGGGTAGTGGTGCCAGCTCTGCTAATGTTAGCCAAGTTGAACTTGTTTATTTGGAGGCTCTGAGATCCTGTGTCTAGCTGTGTTAATTAGGTTTTACTCAACTGAATTTTATCATTATTATCTGCTGACCTCTTGACCAGGTCACCCTTTTTAAGAAGATCTCAATCCCAATGGGTTTTCTTACCTGGTTAAATACATTAAGAATAAAAAATAAAAACCTTGAAAGTTTGTGATTGTTTTCGTGCATTTACACGCTTGTAATTTTTCTTTTAAACCAGGAGGGAATCTGTCACTTCATGACATTCGTTGTGTGTACTGTTAGCACTGTCGCTCTCATTTGAAATTTTTCCAAATAAAAGCAGAAATCTAAGATAGAAAGAAGCAAATTGATGAGAATACTATCATTTTAAAGTGAGTGAGAAGCAGGTGATTTACCGGTAGACAAGATATCTTGCAGGATGAATGTACTGATGATGCTGTTGTAAATTCAGCAAGAACTATAAAATGTGAGAGGGAGTTTTTATGGCCAAGTAGGATAAACAAGAGTATTCAAGAAGAAAAAGCAGCTGTACAGGCATCTACTCCTAAATCTGCAACATCCCTCAACAAAAAAAACCTGTAGTGAAGCCTGGCAGCGTTCATTTCCATTAGCTATCAAATTCTTGGTGAACTTCTAAGAGAAGATTGTCTTTGTTTCTTGAAGCTCTACAGAAAGTTTAACAGCCTGCATCACAAAACACAGTAGCAAAAGTCAAACCAGCAGCTTTAGTGTACACAGACATTAAACCATTAAACCCCCTTCTTCAGTCTACCCTTTGCCAAGTGAAAACAATCACCCCATGGATGAACTAGACCAAACACTACCAACATGTTCACAAACTAAGAAGACCCAGAGCAAAACGGTCTGAAGCTAAATGTCATTAAACCATCGAAGCTAACTATATCAACAGCGAACTCCATATTGTCTTTTTGGTGGGCGGGGCTCTGCTGGAAGCATAACAACCGCTGGACATGTTGGTAAGCACCATCCAGACTTATTTTTGGGGCATTTTTTCCCAACAATCAACAAAGAAAACAAGAGTCTGTCTGAATACGTGAAATCACTAACCACAGTATGACCTTAAACTGAACTGTATCAGTTCATAATCATTTAAACACGTGTGTATAATGAGGGTGTAACTTCCTGTAGATGCCTGCAAAATTCCTCTTACCTCTTCCTGTGATGTCATCCTTATAAGTGTCTATTAAACCTCGACCGCTCTCACCTATATGGAATGAATCTTATTAAAGATGCCTGCTATGGTCATGCTTGTCTTTAGGTGAGGAAACAGCAGTCTGGAGACTGATGGTCTGTTTTAAACAGCTGGTTCAGCTTTGGTGCGATGGCTCAAAACAAAAAAAGATTTTATTGGACTTAATCTCCACTTGCCGTTAACAGACTCCTTTACACAACTGTGTCTTTGTGCACTTAACCGCTCCATCAAAAGATTAAACAAAATTACATTTCATTACTGCCAAATTTAGCCATGCTTGAGTTTGACTAGTGCATGAGTCTCTTATTGGAAGATGGTAAAATTATTTGGTTTAATACATTTCTATCTCTGAATAGCGTTTGAAGGAAGATGCACAATAACAGGCTGCAGAAGAGGCAGGCTCGGACTAGCTTTTGTGGCATTTGTTGCCCTTTTTGGCTACTTTCTGAGCATTGAGTTGGTCTTTCTGAGGTGACTGGCATGTACAGATATCGTCACTGTGTGCCACACATAGACCCCACAGGAAGGTGACCAGGTATAGAAGTGACTGTGTGAAAGCGTGTTTGGTGAGGCACTCTGTATTATAGTCAAAGAAAAAGACTTTACTATTGATTAATTTGTAAACGTGTGACATGTAAAACAAAATGTCTACCATTATCTCAGAGGACCACCTCATTCAGTGGGAAACACCTCTGACCTTTTTAGTTGCCAAATGTGTATTGGTACCACTGATACCTCCATACTTCATTTGACTCTTTGTGCTTAAAACAAAACAATATCTGTGATTTTTATATTTAATAGGATTGAAAAGCACCAAAGCCAATGAAAGTCATATTTTCAAACCAGAAGCTACCACAGGTGAATGAAAACGGGAGTGCGAGCAAGCTGCACTGACACTGGGATAACATGAAGAGAGAGGGAGCTGGTCAAGTAAACAACACAATCAACTGAAAACGAGACATTACTTTCTGATAGTTTCACAGAAGCTCTGCTGTCAAGAACACAGCAATAAAAATATGCATACACCGGTTTGTTTGCAGCTAAAGTTGCGTTTCCTTCTTCCACAGCCATTACTAAATCTCCTCATTCACAAGGTGGCAAACACTGACGTTACTTCTTGTTTGTCGCAGACAGAAAGGGAAAGAGAGAGAAGAGGAGAGAATGAAATATCAGCTGGCCTTCATGTTTTCTATCACTTGTAAGATGAATTACAGTTAGCTAACACCACTATCTAATAAACGATACTGAGACAATGACTGCATTTTAAGAAATGAAAAACCAAAAATAAACAGGCCTGGAGCACACCCCCTGCAGATCAACACGCCCCCACCTCCTCCAGATCATGAACAATGACGCAAAGGAAATATTCTATTTTGGTAACACATTACTTTTAGGAAATGTCATAAACCACTCCACACAAGAATCACGAAGCAGAATTGACCACTGTGGCAACCTCGAACAATCTGCTTCGCTTCCTACAACCATCACAGACACGTGTCAGTGTATCAGAGCAGAGATGGGCTGAGATCCTTCTCAGGGTTAACTCTCCCTTGAGGCATCACTGGAGCTCATGTCTGCTATCAGATTGAAGCTTCCACTATGTATGATTGCAGTGCACTATATGCATTACATCACATGCTTGGACATGTTACCACTGCAAGAGCAGATTTGTATTAACCACAGGTCAATGCTGAGAAACACAGCTGCTAACAAGGCTGCTGCGCATTGAGCAGCTTGGAGGCAAGCAGGAGCTGGAACCAGTGGGCCTTTGGGACGATGGGTTTTGGGCTTCAGATGAGTCTAATAGAGGGAATTAATCAGCAGTACCTCTCACCAGCACCACTATTTAATGGCTTTAAAATAAACTCACATGCATTAAATTATGATTAAAAGCAAAAACAGCATTATTACTGACAAACAAGAGACTCACAGAGAATCTATTTCTATTCATCCAGCACAAGTCAGTAGGGGCTGACCTGAACATCTGCAATGAATGCCAGCAATGAGTATCTTCCCAACATCTCAACATCATCACACAACAAAAAAAAAAAAAGGAAACAGTGACCAAGGCTACAATATGTGGTTGGACTGACCAGCCACAGTAAAAACAGTGTCCTCTGATGTTTGGTTGTGAATGTTTTTGGTGTGATCACACAGTGAGAGCTTAGGCTTTACATGACAGCTTTATAAGAAAGTTGTCGAGGAGCCTGAAGTTACCTTCACACATTCAACCACCAAGCCTTCTGTGGCTTTCCCCCGCTGCCATTTCTAGCTCATGACAACTGAGAAGCCTGACAAGAAATAGGGTAGTACTACTTACAAGCACTCGTGACCGACAAATTATATCCTCTCTTTATTTCTGCTGTGAAATGACTTCTCTACAGGCGTTCCTTCTTCATCTCCATATTGAATAGAAACTAAGAGCTAATTAAATGAATACTGTTGTACCATTATCTCTGTTGATAAGTGAGCAAAATATGTATATTTTCTTTCTCTCTTTGAACTTTTAACATCTGTGACAGATGCTATTAGAACTAATTAATTCAGCAAAGCAAAAAAAATGTCCAATATTTCAGCTTAATAAATGAAAATAGTCCGAAAGGAGGTCGTTACTATTGGTGTGGCAAATTCTGAGCTGGAGCCTGGTGTGTTCAGTTCAACAAATACCTTCATCACAATATCAATACTGTGAATATCGGTACTGTGATCAATAGCACGTTGATATAGTGGGTAGTGCAGCTTTTTGGAGTAAGCTAATAGTGCCTAACAATCCTGATGAGTGTGTCCTCCATCTGCTCTCAAGCCAGAGAGTTTTGATGCTGAGCAGACTGCTACACTTGGTCCCCTCATACTCATCCGGCATGAAGATCTACTAGATGCTTAGTACAGGTTAAAAAGGTACTGACACAAGAAAGAGGACAAAAACAACTTGACCATTACCTGATATGGTCTGAAAATATTGTCACAGGTTATAAATCTTAAAAATATTGGTCTGGGATTTTGATGATCGATGATGGACCCAAATTTTGACACTAAAATCAGTTAATTCAAAAGTTTACTATTAACCTCCATACTAAGATTCCATCAAAATCAGCAACCTACTTAAAGTAAACTCTAGCAACACTAACATGTTTAGTGAAAAAAATAAAGAGATTAAAAATATTTCTTTCCACGTTACCTCTAAAGCAAGAGCTGTTTTGTCATAGGCGCACGGCACACGTTTCTGGATGGCCTTCGCCATGACGGGACCGTTCTGCACGGACGGTAGAGGGGTGATAACTGCTCCAGGTGTTCCAGGGGGCACTGGTGTGGGTGTCTGTGGCTGGGCGTAGGCGTGGACGAGTGCATGGGAGGGTTCAGGGATTCCATAGCTGTTGGAGTTGCGAGATCCGTGGGAAGGCTGGCCGGGGTGAGGGGAAGGTCGTACCAATTTCTCCACATAGGGCACAGGGATCATCCCGACACGCCCCTCTTTACTTTTGGCGCTCCACCACTGCTCCTCAGGCTTCTCCAGGATGATAAGGATCTCCCCTTTCTTGAAGGGAAGGTCCTCTGCATCACTGCCAGTAAAGTCGTACAGAGTCCGCACATACTCTAGGTTGTCCTCTGGGCCACCCATGGGTTGAATAGGACATGTCACTGTGCTTGGGTACCTGGGGAAATTGACACAAGGAAAAGGAAGAACACATTAAGTCTATAAGAACCTGTACTCAACAAGACAAAATGACAATCTTCAGTAACCTTCATGTCAAACTTCTAGTCACAAGTCTAGCATCACTTTTAGAGGTCTCAAACTGTGGAATAATCTGGATGCATCGCTATACAATACAAGAAACCACATTAAGTGTCCAACAACATCGGGGCCAGTTCTCCAGCAAAAATCACAGATTTTTTTGTTGAATTTAAAAGATTAAATCTGATACTTGGGGAATAGACTTATTAATTATTTGAGCATGATAATTGCACCTGAAATGATCATTTAGTGTCCTATTAGTGTTATAATACAAGTACGGGGGAAAAAGGGGCAAATGGCCACAGTTGGACAAATACCAGCCATCATTAGTGCTGTAACAGCCAGATTCATGTATAAACTTAAGTTACACAGTACAATAAGTATGTAAACTCAATGCTTCATATACAATTTGGCTGCTCACAACACAACCTCACTAAAAACAGAAAACTGGGTGTTTACAGGGCTGGTTTGTGCACCAGTTTCAAACCTGGAAAACTGGAAGCCTCATGTTATATTCAGGGTACTGCTGCCTGCCTTAAAGTGGGTTAGTTTGGATAAAAATAGAGACCCTTGTTAACCTACATTAGCCACCCTGACACATCCAGGAGTCCTTGTTGTTGTGGTATTTCATCATGGTGAACATTTTACAATCATGCCAGATAGTAGAGGAATTCATGATGTCTGCCTTACCTGGGTGCTGGCTCTATCAGCGTGGTCGTATCCAGGTAGTGGATCTTGTAGAAATCCAGTAAAGCAGGAAGGTGCTCGAATTCCTGATCACCTATCTTAAACCTCTTGCTGGGCAAAGAGTTGATGATATAGTGAGACACTTTGGAGTTTTCAGATACTGACAGGACGTAGTCACCTGGGCAGGTTGACGAGTCTCGCACAAGAAACATGCCATGTCTCTGTCCTTGTAACCTATTCTGTGCCTCTTGTCGTGACACGGGTCCGAAATACCAGGCAGACCGATCAGATGACTCAAAGCGTGCAGTTGACATTTCTGTTCAAAAATAAGTTAATATCAGCCTACAAAAAAGAAAAATAAAGGAATAGTACAAGTCAGACTAGACAATAAGTTAAAACGCGTGGGGTTTAGAGGATGCAGGGTAGGGCATTCGTCGCCCTGTGAGGCTTCAGACAGATTTCTGCACAAACGCCACAGGCTCCAGAGACCTCGGGTTGAAAAGAAAAACACACAAAAAACAGCCAGGCGTTTTCAGACACAGGCTGTGACTGACTCGATCCAACTTTGAAGCATAATGTGGTTCCTGTGTTCACCAGTCGATGACTTAGAGATTGTTTGAGCGGCCGAGGAAGAGATATTAAACTTCGGACAGATAAACATCGATGGTGCCGAAGCAACAAATGATCAATGAAGCTTCCCTTTTTTGTTCCGCCTTCCGAGAACACACCACCAGGCTTCTCTTCTTATAGTTTGACTCTCCAGTCAGTGTCAGTAGTGAGAACGGAAAAGGTGGCCTTAGTTTTTCATTTGTCAAATCCTCATGTCTGCAAAAAAGGGGTGCCAGTATCCGCTGGAAGGAGTCGGAATATTAACTTTGAATCGTCTTCTTCTTATGGTAAGGCACGCGTCACGGAAATGCGATTTTCAATCCCCTTCTTGAGTCGGAGCAGACTTTGAGGCAGCACAGCAAAAAAATGGCGGCCCGCAACACGTCTTCACACAAAAAAATACACCACGGCAGCGTCTTGTTCCCTGCGCGTGCATCTCAGGTGCCACTACGTTAAGCTGTAGCTCCCGCGTGCACACCCGACCGCTCGCGAGGGATTTCGGCTTAACGGTTTTATACTTTCCCTTAAAATCTGTTCGTCCCCCCCTCTCCCGAGCCACCACCAGAAGTGCGAGTACGAGACCGAAAAATGGCGTCGAGAGGGCAGGTCCCGCTTTCTATCAGTACGTCACTGACGCCTGGAGGGGGAGGCGGGAGGAGGAGGAAGAGGGGGTGGGCGGTTTAAACGACGCGGACAGCCCCTCGCCCCCATGTAGAGCACGATGTCAATCATGTTTCCATGACACAGCTTCAGCAGGGAACGTTTGAGTATGACAGACATTTAAGGTTTCATCAGCACTAATCAAACATCTGTCTAGTCAAAATGTCTGGCGTCGTAGGACCTGCAAAACTGCAAGAGGAACCTGTGTTTTTTTCCCCTTTCTTTTCAACGTCCATTATCTACTTAATAACAATAAAATTACCATTCGCACAACTTAAACTAACATAATATGTGTCTAAACATAAGCCATCTTGTATTTTTTCCAGGTAAATCCAGTGTGGCTGAGGGAGAAGTATTCAAACATGGATGTAAAAAGAAGGGCTGTGCTTTCAACTTCTGTAGCCAAGTATTATGAGGACAATAAATGAAATATATTCACCAAAAGATGAACTATTGGACAAAGAGACACATTTCAGTAATGTTCCTCTTATTTTATGTTGACATAAAGCACTTTCACTTTATGTAAATGCTTTAGTATGCTTCCTTTGTCATTATTTTCATACATTGTTGTATTATTAGTGTTAATTTAATCAACAGGAGCCGAGTTATATTTTTTGTTAAAGTGTTTGATTTATCTGCTTCATTATTGTATTGCGAATGTGATACTTTGCCGGCTAGTCATTTTTGTGTTCAACTGTTTTCTCAAAGCAAGACGACAATGAAGTAAAAATCAGACTTCCTTCAGAAAGAGATGAAGGTGGACTAAGAATGATGAATTGGCTGTATGATGGGTGTGTAAGAATTGAAAGTAGATTTAATTCTTGTATCTGATGACAGTCATATCTTTCGACTGAGACTCTTAAATGTGCATATGTCCTACAAAGTGAATCTGCAGTATCACTTACTTACTTGAAGCCCTTTATTCTTTAACCTCTACCACACTTTGAATTCATGAGAGTCTTGTTCGATGAAATAGTGAAGAAGCCCTCGGTGCAGTATTTGTTCAGTCAAGAGATATTCCATACCACCAATAAAAAGTTTGACATATTTCCCTATTTTCATTTCCCTTTGTTACCAACTTCCTCTCTTTTCAATCTCATAAGTATTTTCTGGCAGAGAACTGTGACACATCGATTTGGAGCTCTTCACCCTACCCACCCAACCCACAACACAAAATGCTGAGAGAAGGAGAGTGAATTTAAATGCAGGGGACAGTGCCTCAAAAGCGGCCTAATAAAGATCAAAACAAAGAATGTATTAAAAAGAAATGTCTGAGCATACTACGCCACTCCATGTGAAGAAACAATCTCAGCTCATTGATGAAAGTAAAATATAAAGAAGTAAAACTGTTCCTCTGGTCGGTGAGGTTTCAGTGACCATGCCTCACGAGGCTGCAGCTGGCACAGAGCAGCTCTCATCACTGCAGCACTGTCTGAATGTTAATAGATTTGCACCCACTGGGACTAAATGGCTTTGCCTGCCAATTCCCACTTTTTTACAAAGACGCAGTGATGCAACAAAGTGGTGAAAAAAGGTAAAAAGACCAAAATTAGGGGGTAAACAAGTAAGAAAGCAGATATTCAGTCAAGTTGTTTACCTCTGCAGATTCACAAAAACAAAAAAGACAAAGATAGTCTTAGTTTAAAAGCTTGTTTTGGCTTTATATTTTAATTGTGTTATGAGAAAGTAATGGCATTAACTTTGTGTTTGAAAAGGTCAAAATGTGGATGCGTGACTAATTGTGATTTTTTTGTTTTTCTTTAACTTTCCAAACACACAAATTCAAAGGTGAATATGAATCAGCTGCACTTTAAAATATTCATTGAGTAATTCTGGAGAGAAGTTTGGGTTATTTTCTCACCCCATGTAACCACATCAAGTATCAGGGCTTCCACTGGCTCCATGCACTCAGAAGAGTTTTTACAGAAACACCACCATCTAGTGGGTGTACACAAAAGACAATGCCTGTCTTCAATTCAAGAGGCTTCAGGCGTGATGTGTAACCTGTGTAGGTTTATGTAATAGATATGTTTGATGTGTAGAGGCTTTATTCTAAGATAGGTAGTCACTGGTTACGGCTGAGTAAGCCTTCACATCATTGTTCAGACTTGACACATCTGATTTAGCTGAATAAGTGGATGTGTGTCTACTTTAGAGTACATTGGGAATTATAAAGATAAATAACAAGGAACTGGCAATGAGTGGTGAACATGTGTCTGCAGCCTGAAGTAAGTTCTATTTGGTTCATCGCTAAAAAAGCTGAATGTCAGGATTACAGCTATAATACTGTGTAGTTTTGTCACTTTGGCTGGATAGGTCTTCTCACAGGTTGTAGAAGAAACATCCACTCATGCTGGGAGTTGTCTGCTTTGCTTGGCTGGTGTGCAGTTCGTAACCTGCCCTGAGTTATTGCTCAACCAGAGGTTCATGTGTGCTGTTATGAAATGGAACCAGGTGCTTTTTCATTGTGTTGACTTTCATTTTTGATGTTTGCAATCACTGCACACTGTTATTGTGCTGATATGACTGAGTTTCAGTAGGTGACATGTTGAAGACTGGAACTGTTTTATGTATTTGTACATTGTGTTTGAATATAAATATCAAGGAAGTATGTAGTGAATTTAGATGTTATTTTTTGGGGGGGAGATAACAAGATAACCCTAACCATGTTCTGATTAAAGCAACCACTCACATCTCTTCTTCTACACTCAGTTTGATAGATTTTGACATCATTTTTAAGTGAGCAGTCTCTTGAGTGCAACTGCATCAAACTCTCCATGTGCCCTGGAACTGACTTTTTCTTACTTGATAGGAGAGGCATTTTGCTGAGTACAGTACATCAGCCTAGAGGAAGAGTCACATGGACAGTGTTGTTCTGTCTTTCAACAATCGCACAATTGTCTTAAAACAGTTTAATAGAGTTTTATTTCTAGGTTCCTTGTGGTACTCTTCGTACATGACTGGTAACATTTGGCCAGTGTAAGCATCACGCTACTACAAACAATCTAAACACAAACCAGTACAAAACAAAAATGCCTGAGATTTGTGCTACGTTTATTTTGTATTATTCATTGCATCAGCTTGTAGAGACTTAACTTTGGTTTTTGTGCAAATACAAGTTTTGAATACTCATACTTAATGGTATGTAATATAAAAGAATTCTGCCCTTTGTTTTGTCAGAATAAAAACAAATGTATAAATCAGAACTCCAAATTGACAACTTCTGATGGTTCAATTATCCTTAAATGCATTATTTGGTAGAAAAATAAATAAAAGGTATTTACCCCTCTAAGTACAAAGCTAGATGTTAGCTTTTAGTCATTTTTTTGTACATTTCTGCATCTATAACAGACATCTTAAAACATGTTCATTGTATGTGACTAACCATAAATTAGAAATTCTCCCTTAAAACTTCAATCCTGTCTTTTTACGGAGTGTTTATTTTCTTTTCTCAGAATAATCCTGAAAAGCTCAAATCCTGAGATGGATTTAGTCGATGCATTAGTTGTGTCATTGTTGCTAGTGCACTGTCCTTTTGAGGCGGTCTCTCTGCACAGCGCGGGCCCTCCTCTGTCTCTCTGCAATGGTGGAGCTGAGGCTGGGTTTGAGGGCTGGGAGGACCACACCAGACTGAGAGGGTCCAGATCTAGGGCAGAAAACATCCGTGAAGATGTCTGTTTGACTTCAGAGTTGTGAAAAGCCAAAATTACAGGGGGGGTACATGCGGTTTTACATAAGTGGAGAAAAAGATTACATACACTTTTTCTGGCAATGTTTGAAGACTGAGTTTTGGTAGTTTCTTTTCTTCATAGGATTTCCTAAAAACAGACAAAAAGATCAGTTCTTATCATGACTGTACAGTGCTCTTTTCACCCCTTTTTTCCAGGTAGCACCATTTTAAAAAAAGTAAATACTTTAATCTCCTTACCTGGCACCATCAACAAGGTAGGCCTTGGTCAAAATGTAGTTTTCTGGGGTGATTTTCTTGCTCAAAACAATATCTCTCAGCAACCCCTTGACACGCAGAATCTAAACATGACAGATTTCTCAATCAGTCATGAACAGCTTTCATTAAAGAAACATTAGATACCATATTTTGCCTGACAGAGTCTGAGAAACACTTACCTCCTGAGACTGCAGACTGTTGGCATTGTAGAGTTGCCGAATGATGACTTCACACTCCTGTAGTGTGGGAGCACGAGGTGGATGGGAAGGACCGCTGTGGATTCGTAAAGGCTGTAATGAGGTAATGAGGCCCCCTTTCACCTCTGGACCATGGTCCATTCTGGAAGAATCACTGCTATCTCCAAACCTTCTCCCCAGCAGTTGGAAATTGTAGCAGATTGCATGAAAAGTAACATACAAATTGTTTGAGGTAGTTACGGTTGTGTTTGGATTATATTTGAAACTGATTTCTTGTCACTGTATAACAAAACAAGGAAATTACAAGGTTTTAATGGAATGTTAAATACATACAAACATTTATATCACAACTGTTACAACTTTAATCTGTCTTTACAGCATTGTCTGTATGACTGCCGAAGACAATTGAAAGTGAATCAAAGATCAAATGAGTAAAAGGTCATATCTTAATGTTTTCAGGAGAAGTCTGATCACTCTTCATCAGTACTGAAGTATTAGAATTAGATGCATGAATGACTGAATAAGAGTGGAGATGGGAATTCACCTTAGTGCTTGTTCTTGTGAGGATCGCAGATCTTGCAGTGGCTCCTCTTGGTAGAGTCCCGCGCAGGCTTCACTTCCCTGTGTGGGGGGTCTAATACCTCGTCGATTTTGAGTTGCCCCTTAAAATCCAGATTGAAAAAGAAGGCACCATGTAGAGTTACACAAACCCTGACAGATGATTTTACCACAATCATAATCCTGATAGACCTCTGGATGATAGTTAGGCAAAACAAACCTAAAAACCCTGACAAAGTGTCATCACATCTTACCTTTTCTACTCGTCACAGGGGGCTCCATAATCAGCTTATACTGCAACTCTGAAACATCCAGATGGAGAAGATTTTAGTGCAGGGTATACTGCAGGGAGGCACAATCTTGTAACACAGTCCCAGCAAACAGCCCATGCTTTCATGGGGGCCTGTCTGCAGTGATGGTGTGAAGACAGATGACTGAGGAGTCTCCTGTGGAGTGGTGAGATGTGGTTATATGGAACGCCATGTGCCCTGTTTGGAGGAGTGACACCGGATCTCTGTTCACCTCCCACTGAGAGGCATAAGAACCTTTGAGTTGCTATGCTACCACTGTAGCTAGATTGAATGTCTCTCTTTTCAACAACTCAAACAGTCATTGACATAAATTTATTACCTAATCGGTGTCAACACTTACATGGATATTCAGCCTTGCCTGTTAGAATTACAATACATTGGCTGCCCTCCGTGTAAACATGGATATGTCAGAATGCACACTTAGTACAGGCCCTTACTTCTGTTTTTGTGCTCATATTTCAATTTTTACAAAGCTTTTCTGATATTTTAACATATTTTGTGTTACTTGTACAGACAGCTGCTAGTTTGAGAATTGACTCTGATCTTTTCCAGATGGACACTGCGTGTCTAGATGGATCTATATTTGAATATGGAGATGTTTCTTTTGTCTTATGCCTTTCTTACCTGTAAACAACACAATGAAATTGACTTTAATACTCTTGTAATAACAACATTTTAGTTTGTATGAAACTTTTTGACTGGATTATCTGTTACTCGTTAGTGATCACACCACTTATTCAGGCTTTAAATTGAAATGATCTGACGCTAAAACACGATTCAAGTGACTATATGTGATACACAGAGGTTAATTCTCTCACATTAATGACATATTTAACCTCACATTGATGCCTTCACCTTTATTCTCCCGCCTGAGATACTCTATCTCTGCATGGAGCTTCTCCAGAGTGTCCTTGTGTTGTTGTTGAAGGAACTGGATATTTCTCTGCGTTGATGCGACGCGGGGGTCCATGTCACTCTGACAGGACGCGTCTGCTGCTCCTCCTCTGGCTTCTCCGTCCACCGGCGGAGCAGCAGGCAGCGGGGGAAGGTGGTGTGAGGGGAGACGCCGAGTCGAGCAAGGCTTCCCGAGGCTTCCCACCCGGGTCCACTGTGGTAAATGCCGCACCGGTGGAAGGTTATTACTTGACATCGCTTGGTTCATTCTGCTAGCACTGCTTGCTAACGAGGCAGACAAACTTAGTCAGCTAACCAGCCATTAAACCTCAACCGTTTGCCTTACGTGTTTTCTTCTGCCGGTGCATGACATTGTCGACATGCAGGCTTCAAGTCATTCAACAACATTCGACGACTAACTTACCGGTTAAAGTCTTTACATGCTAAACAGCTCGGCTCACTTGAACTACTTTTGCTCTCGTTTGACACAAGCCTCACTCATGAGGACTGTTGCCGTGACAACAAAGTCTCCTATTTTTTTGCGCACGGTAAAGTCCCGCCTCCTTGATTACTATTGGCAGTGATGTATTTGAAGAATTAGAACACCAAATCTGATTGGATTAGCTTGTTTAAGGGGCGGGAACTGCCCCGGAAAAGCTGTCTGGCTTGTTGATCTAATGATATTGTGCTAAAGAGCGATGAAGTTTAAATTTGAGTTTAAGCTTGAGATATGAAGTGGAAATTCCAGTCATTAAGGCCAACAGATATCAGAAAAGTAATGAATGAATACTGGTTTCACAGAAATAAGACATCTGATGCAAGTAAACAACCCATCCACATGCCAAACCCTTTACATGGTCTTTTAAATAGACTTAATGTCAAGTCTTTCCTGTCCAGTTTAATTGGCTTTAACAGCAGGTGCAGCAGGTCAACTCCAAGTAGCCATCTCTACCTTGCCAACTTACTTTGTAGTGTGACCCAGTCATTCACTTTTGTGAACTGTAGTGCACGTTGAGTTTTTGCTTGTATCTCTCACACAATACATGCCACTCTGTTAAGTCCTGGTGTTCCTTAGAGAGGACAACCACAGCTTTAAAATGATGTGACATGTGTGGGGCTGAGACCTTGGCAACTACTCTTTTCCTGTATTTCAAAATGGCTGGTTTTAAAACACCATAAAACACATTTTATGAAAAACAGACAGGTAACTATGATATTGATATTTAATTTTTTTGTTATATTTGGATTAATTTTTCAATATAAACATCTAATAAGAAAATTTGAGTGAGTTTTCAGAGATAAGTTTACTTTGCTTTACAGGGAAAATGACTAATTTAATAATTTATACTGTAGTGCACATCAGGACTTTGTACTTCAGTTTATTTCACTTTTTTTTCTGGTGGACAGGTCTTTGAAGGAGGCAGGGAGTATTCTTTGCAGAATCATTGAGGGAGACTTAGCACCTTCATAGGAATCTCTGTGTACATGGCATGTCTATCCAAGAATGTACTGGGCTGCTAAAACAAGAGTCCCAGTTATAGCTGATTCCATGACCTGTGAAGTGTCAGTCATTCGATCAATGAAATCCTGTTGTGTACTGACGTGCACATGTTGAAGATTTTAAATGAAATTAGTTAAAAAAAAAATAGTCTTTGCAGTGTGTTTTTTACCACCCCAACTCTTGATTTATCTGACAAAAATTCAAAATGAAAACACTTTTTTCCCCTGGGTCTCAAGAGGTCAAAAAGCTGTTGAAATCAGTGTTGAAATATTTGTTGACATCTCTGAAGGCCACAGCGATGAGCTGATAAGCTGAGAAACATCTGTATCTCTTTAACAAAAGGTAACATGGTGCAAAAATGAACTGTCCTTCCATTCACTTTATTCACGTTCCAGCTCTCAAACAGTAAAGGTTACATCACACAGGGACACTGACATAGTGTGGCTGTCATGGATTTTACAACATTAAAAGTACATTGCAACAGTGAGAGACAACATGTAGGACCAGCAAAAGGCCTATTCTTTGGAAATGTATGGGTGGTGTATATGTACTGTTCTCTCCATGCCCACAGCGTCATACACCCAAAACAATAACTTAATATACACTATTTACAGGTGAAACAGAGTTAGTAAAGACACGAGATGAAACATAAATGTATGTTTTCAGGAAACATACAAAAGTAATAACGCAAATCAGTTGCAGAACCAATATGGAAGAGTACATAGCACAATCTGGTTACATTGTGTTTTATCTTAATTGTATACGCCTATGAGTGAATGTATGGAGTCAGTATCTCATTCAAGGACACTTCAGCAAAGTGGATTGGTGATTGACATAGGACGCTGTCCCCTCTCTTCCTATGCTAACTTGCTGTTTTCTATCACTGTACACTTGTTATTTCTGCAGCACAAATAACCTTCATGGTGCTTTTTGTTCCTGCCCAATATAACTAGTGCTAGGGTGACAGATGAATGTGATCGTAGGGGAACATTTAAAGGTGACATATTAGTTTTATTAGGGTAAGATGTCCTCTCTTGTTGCTGACTGTATATGTTGAGATATCAGCACCACATAAAGACTAAACAAAGCCACTAGTAAAATAGGCAGAGAGCCTGTGGATGACTTTGGATATAAGGAATGTACACCAAAAGAACAGTATAAACACATTTGAGTCTCATAGAAAGTTGTTGGAAAGAGTTTTAAAAAAGGCCGCAACGCAAATACATACAATGTAAATCTAGAGAAATCTTCACTGAGAAAAAAAGAAAATCCTCCAGTCCTCTTAGCTGACTGTGCTACCATATTGGCTTCTTAATCTAGCGTAAACTATCTTCAACCTGGACCACACACTAACTCCTTTACCCACAGTATACACTCTTTCACTCCAAAGTCCAATTGGAAACAATAAAAAATACACCCAGGGAACAGTAAAATAGTATCAGCAGAGGCTTTCACCTGAATAACTTGGTCTCATAGATGTTTAAGTTTCATATGTGAACCAAACCAGATCCATGCACACCATGCAGGTCAGCTGCAGTCAAAAATCCCGTCATTTCAATCTTATTAAAATCAAAGTCATTGGTCCTGTACAGAATATATCCCACTTTCCATTAACACACCACACAATATCATTTCACAGATGCATGCACGCATGCACGAGCATCTCTTAAAGGCAACCTAAGCAGAAACTGACCCTTCTTCATGGCCCACAGTCCAGGGGAATAAAGGTATCCTTTTGGGATGTAAGTTTAAAATGAATACAACAAACAATTCCAACCAGCACTCTAAATCAAGAGGACACTTGATCAACGTCAACCACCATCATCAAACACACTACCAATATGAAAGAGAACACAACACAACCAATACTAATTAATTTAGCAGTGTAAAGCAACTTTTTATGACTTTTCTCTTTTTGAGGAAATCTTCCTACAGGTTTATAGCTTATACCATCTCTTTGTTAACATTCTCACTTACACACTTTTAAGTCATTATATTAAAACTAAAAACTGCAACCTCTAGATAAGTAAATCTGTCTAGATATCCACAACACAGGGCATGTTCAGCATTTTCCACTCAAAACCTTTCTATACAGTACTTAAACAGTGCAAAAACATTCAGACATACGCTCTCAGATAAGACTACATTTGAGAAATCCAGCACCTGGATGATAAGATACCGTTTCTCTCCTGTCAGCCCTACATTCAAATGTGATTATACTTGCAAAACTCCTGACGTGACTGACTCGTAACATAGTAACAAACAAACAAATGGAGAAATTATCAGCAACAGCAGCATTCAAGCTTCTGCAGATCTGAAGAGTGCATCCAGGATTATTGCAGCATCTTTAGTATGATTGGGATCATGGATGCTAAACAGACCAGTTTTGGTCCATCTTCAATTCAAAGCTACATTTTGCAGGTAGCAGTGACAAGGTGAGTGCTGTCTGAACACCCTCCTCTGTCGGTTGCGCAATGTCTGCCACCGTTAAAAAGTCAAATCCTGTGTAAGGTGATTGTTTGAATGATGGGAGATAAAGAAAACATGTGAAACACAGAGTTTTTTACACATTTTAACAATACATTTAAATAAAAACTAACATATAAATAAAACTATTTTCGAAACTTAATTTTGGCAACTTTTTTTGTAATAGAGCTTCTACGCATTTCGTAGCGATGCGATGTCCCTTTAGCTAGCAGGTAACACTTAGAGATGACAAGAAAAGACAGGACAGCGATGAAGAGGTATAAGACAGAAATAACATTTGATGAAAATGGTCCTCTTCTTTAGCACACTCTTCATGCACAGCAGATTCTGCACTTTTTCCTTCAGCTACTCATCCTGGTCAAAGATAACAATGTGTCTATAGAGCTGAGTATTGCAAACTTGTAAAATGATCTATAGTTCATCTTGAAATGTTATCTATTTACTGTAAGACAAGTCTTGCATGTGGAGATGTGAGTACTTGGCAATAATTGCTCCTGCGTGTTTGAAGCCTGGTGAGGGGGGATCATCTTCTTGGCAAAAATACCATATTCGGTGCCAAGTGCAAAGTTCTCTCCAATATTTGAGAGTCCAAACATTCTTTCACGTCACAAGTGTTTCATATCCAACACGTACAGCTGTAGTGTCGGTGGAGTCACAGTCCCTATCCAAAAACTTGAGATGGCGAGCCATTTAGAGAGCACACAGACCCTCGCTGAAGTGGCTCAGTCGTGGGGTTTTCCTGTGAAGCTGAAGTATTCCTAGGTGAAGTCCACGAGAAGTAGGTGGAGATTTGGTTAAATGGAAATGTGCAGGGTGCCGATGAGTGACATCAAATCCACACAAAAAGGAGCAGCGTGACACTCTCAGACACAGAGTCCTGACTGCAAAGCTGTGAGGCGTCTTTCGATGCACTCTTTACCTGCAGACACAAAAGAGGGAAAAGAATCGGAGAGGGAAAGATCTGAAGTCAGTGGATGGGTTAGCTAACAGCACAGGTGTCTTTTAAGAGCTTCAGTATGTTTTCTAAACTGTAATTACAAAGATTTTAGCTGAAAGAACATTATACAAAGATAAGCCGACAAATAAACGCACATTTGCTAACACTGAGGAGGTCATCCTGTTCAGTGAGCAGCAAAGACAGGCCCTCCATCAGCAGGAGAGCTTTATGGTAGCGCAGAGCCGATGCTTCTCCTTGGTGGAACATCTCATCCAGCGCAGCAGCTTGAACCTGAGGTGACATAAGGATAGCTGAGTTGAAATAGTCTGTATGATGCTGCTGGGACACGCAGTCCTGTGGAAAATGTCTTTTACTTTTCAAACAAAAAGTCCTGCTGTCATTTACCAACTTTTGATTTCTTGAGCATATCTTAAAAATACGTTCAAAAGTCACTTTGAGTCATTACATTAAAGCTGCAATTATTATTATCTTTTCAGTTGAGCAGTTCATTGATAACCCATCCTTGTGGTTTTGTGAAATTTCAAAGGAGGGATGGAGAGTGATCGGTAGGATATTTTTGCCCGCCATGCACTCAACTCAGCAACACAACCAGGGCTAATTGTCCTAAATGGTAAATGTCCACCAAAAGATGGTAACTAGCTTATTTTAGTGTGGCCTTCTGGACAATAAACCGTGTTTCCTGCTGTTCTCCCAGCTGTCTAATTCATCCATTGGCTTACCATCTGCACTGTGTGGCTGAACAGCAGCCGCTCAGCTGTGATGGAGGTGATTTGGTCCATTAGACGGTGTTTCCTGGAAAAAAAGCGCTCCAGACGGGTGCTGAGTGAGCGACAGGATGCCACACTGGACTTGTATAGCTCATTCAGCCTCTTAACCACTGTGTTTGGACATGGCATGAGGAAAAAAGGAGAAACTCAGTATGCACTCTATTATGATGATTATATTATTATTCCAAATAGTCATATAATGACCTCATACCTTGTTTGACTGTGGTGGATGGGTAGAGTTTGCCCTGTTTGACTCGCTCCATGGCTGTGTGTAAGGCAGTGGACAGAAGTTCTGCAGTCTTCAGGTAGAGAACCAGCTGTTCAGCATGACTGGTGGAGAAAGAGCCAAGTCAAACAAAAACAGCACAGTGTTCGCATGAGTAGATGTCTGTGACATGACACTGAGACAATGAAAAACCAACAAAGCACGCAGCAGCTGGTTTGTGACATGATAGGAAAAAAAAAAATCTATGTGGTCACTGTCTTAGGCCAGCTATCCATCAGAGGACTACGAGAAGATTTGGAAAAGACTGTTTAGAGTTCTTAGTCACAGCCTGGTCTCAGACTGAGGATTTACAAAGACTGGGAATCTTGCAGGGTCACTATAAACAAGATTAAAACTAGATTGTTTTATCCTTTTTTGACAATCCAGTGTTTCCCATTGGTGGGGAGTTTATCTTGGTGGGCGGCTCATTAATCAGCTGTGTGTTCACATATGACAACTAAGAACTCGCTAACACTAATGCTAATAATGCTAATACGCGCCCGGCAGTGCAGCCCATGGTGCAGCCGCACTAATACACACTGAGTCCGAGGTAGCGCGTAAAAAGACTTAATTGTTGATGTGTTGCAGCTTTTATTTAGCCGTAGCGTTGCGCCATTGCATGTTACCATGTAATGGCGGTGCGTGGCAGCGTGCCATTACATCAGCTGTAGGGGAAACCCTGCAGTTGATGTTTAATAGGCAAGGCTGATCAGCCCACAGCTCCACTATCCGCTCCTCTTTCTGGACTGTCCACTTCTGACGTTTTATCACCAGTAATTCTTCACACATTCTTGTTTTGACTGTCAGGTTTCATTTTCTGCTTTTGTTAGAGCTCATCTATTGGTTGTTGGTTGTGTTACGTCACTGCGTCTTGGGTGTTTGATATTATCGCACATCCAAGACTAGGAAAAGACTGATATAAAACAGCGCAGATTACCATCTTAAACTTAATGATCGAGATGAGAGGAGCGTGCTGCGACTCTGCTGTGACTCCAGTAAAACTCCAAGATTTACTGAAGACTTGCAGTTTTTAGTCTGGAAGCCCAACATTACACTAACTACAGATATGGTTCAGACATAAGTCACTATTAAACTCTGTATTCCCCATTAAACAAGGCCTAACATGTTGTTATGATTCTGTCACCTCTATCTATACAACCCACTACTCTCTGACTTTGTTGAAGTGATCCTATTTGTCTTTACTTGCAAACATGCGGTTAAATTTGAATTATCAAACATAAATATTCAATGATGAGCTCTCACCTCCACTCTCGGCTCAAAGAGCTTATCTGATCGGCTACCAGGCTCTGCGGCTGAAAGAGGGAGGGTTGAGAAATGTCCGCCTGCTCTTCCGCCGCAGCAGCACCCCGCGCTCCAGCCACCTCCATCAGACATCGAGCGAAATCCAACATGAAACGCAGGCTTTGCACAGTGTCTGTGTGCTCCTGCTGCACTCAGAGTCATGAGAAAGACAGAAAAACAAGGAAGGGAGGTGGGTTGATGATAGGATTATGAACAGATGACAAGAGAATGGGATTTGGCTTTTACTGTGCAATATTATCTGGTGAGTTTATTATTCCGTTTATCTAATCCACCTAACGCCATCGGACAGTAACAGAGTCTTATGTCCACATGAGAGTCTTATGTTCACATGAGTGGGGAGTCAAAAGTAGAGTATCAAAGTGGCGGCTTTTTCACGACTTTCTGTTTCAGACTGTGTCAAAAACCTGCTTCTCACCTCCATCAGCGTCTCTTCAGGAAGCTCTGGAGGCTCAAAGGTCACATGACCGCCCATGTTGGCTGTGATAGGATCAGTGAAACTGAAACGAGGACTTGATGGTGCCTCAAAGCCATCCAGGTACGTGCCTGTCTGAGGGAAGCGGCTTGTGAAGGAGCCCGCGGGGCTGACTGAAGTAAAGGAGCCTGAAGGAACAGGAAAAGATATAAAAGATTTTGATAATATCATCTACATCCATCTATGATCTATTTAAGATATGTTCTTTGACCCATAAAGACTTATTATGTAAAATGAGACATAAAATCAATGATGCTGGTTGTTTTTGTCATACATTTGTAAAATGCAGATGTGTTACATCTCTCTAATGTTTTATGTATTCTTCTTTTAACAAAACACTACAAGTGCCGATCAGTCTCTGGGTAACTACTCCCTAAATGCAGCTGCAGATGAGATCTTAGTCAATGAATGCCCCCCCATGATAGAAAGTGAAAATAAAATCTACCAAATGTGCAGAGTACTATTAAAGAGTGTGTGCTACCTGAGTGTTTCCTCTGTCTGAGGGTTTGAGGGGGGGTGCTTCCACTGGGAGGAGAGCCCACAGTAAAAACCACCTGTGCTGGGCTGCCTGAACCAGGTGTAAGGCCTCCGCAACCACCACCTGGGGGCACTAGAGAGGCAGAGAGGAGCAGAGACGACAGTTCAAGACCCAACCTTTGAAAGTAAATCATTGGAATAATCACACAAATCTTCTTTTTCAATCCTGCTAACAGCTAAAATCATAAATATTAAAACTATTATTCTAGTTTCAATGTAATCCATGAAATGTCAGTGAGGGTGTAGTTTCTAAAGAAAAGACTGTGCTTTTAAATACAGGCCATTAAATGTGCCCACCTGTTATGTCTATGGCTTTTTCAGAGGTCATGTTCTCTGTGCTGCCCCGCTCAGCGCCGAGTCCTGGTGATCCAAATGCAGCCATGAGGAGCATGTCAGACAGACGACCGGCACTCTGAGACCTGCACCGCAGAGACGGGAAACAAAGACATGGAGCGGTGAACACGGAAGGAAAGATAAGGGTATGAATTATAAAGCACTCTTGTTGAATATATATTCTTCCTTTAACTTTTTTTTTTGCCCTTCAGGCTTTTTTAAAAAGCTCTCCAATCCGCTCTTTTCAGGGCTCATTATCCTTGTCTTTACTTTTTCATCCATCCTCAGGTAAAAGAATAAATGACAGGGTCTATCCGAGTAATACAGACGTCCAGCTTCCACAGTACAAAGTTATTTGAAACATTAACAAAAAGCACAGAAAAATGAAATACACTCCTGTCTATTTGATTCCTCCTGGATGTGCAGTAGAGCGTAAGTGTGGTAAACAAAGCAGAAACAGTCATCTAACCTTCCAAAGCCCTTGTTTTCACTGTTGAGTCTGTGGATGCAGTGGGCAGGCTGGGCGACCTGCGTGGGTGTGTGTGGTCCTGGGTCTCTGGGCTCTGTTTGTGCAGTCCTGCTGCCAGGGGAGCCGATGACCAAACCCTGCTGCGTCAGGAAGGTGACAAGGTTTGGAGAGCTGGGGGGTTTGGGGAATTCGAATGGAGGGATGGTCTGAGGACAAGGACAAGAGGGAGAGTTAAGAGAGGGAGCACAGATTTGTTTTAAATGCCTGGGGGTCTTGTCAGGGTCTCACAGAGAATAGCACACAAACAAATCTCTCTGTTTGTGCCTCTTTCTAACACACAAGCACATCTGACTCACCCTGGAGGGCGAGCCGAGGATGGTTGGGAGGGGGCTACGCTGCATCAGCTCGCTGAGTCTCGGTGATGAGTGTAGGGGGCGGATGGTCATCATGCCTGCTGAGGGTGCTACCACTGGGTCTGAATGCTGCTTCCTGATCTTCTGTCTGCCGCCCCCACTGGCACACTCTAACAAACAGGGAGCGCTGTGCAGCCGTGTGCCCAGTCCTGCAGTCTGCGGGTGTTGATGAGAGGCAGGCTGGGGAGCTACAGGGGTAGACAACAGTCAGAATATTTCTGCTTTCAGACAGCAGGTGACATTGTGAGATGAAATGTCACGCAGTATCACAACACAACACATCAACAGAGAGGCAGCAAAGATGGACAAGTGCTGTCTAACTCCCCCGCTGCGCTGTTGGCATTCAGTCAGCTGAGAGGCTGTGTCAGCATGGGGCACAGGGGAGTCAAGAGCGATGGGTGGTGATGGTGATGTGGATGTTTGTGTGTAGGATCTAGATTCTTTTTTCCGATCAATAACTGTCAAAACTATTGACCCAGGTTGACTCAGAAAATTCAGCGTATCCTCACCAACATTTGTCTGCCTCCACCTAGACTGAAGATGAACTTTCAGGCACCTAGTCACCAATTTACAAAACAATCCTCTCATTGATTAGGCTTGAATACTTTGTGTTCAATTTGATGTTATTAAGTGTATTCTCTTGTCTGACAAAAAGCCCAAAACTCTGAAGATATTCTAAAATTGTTGTGGCTTCTTTACCCACAAAAACCCCTCCAGACACAAGACCCTAACCCCCAATTTTCACCACATTCGGAACTGCTCCAATCCAGAGCAGCGGCTATTTTCGCCATCCGCCAATTCCTACTGGATCAATTTGTGAGGCAAATTTTGTGGCAAATTAGGGACAGCTTCAGGTGCAATTGTGAGATAACGAGTTGTCTCTATAAAGACAGCCACATAACCATATAAACAGTAGATTGTGTCATTCCAGAAGAGGAAATCCATTTTTAGACTTCGAGAATCAGTATCTCCTCATCCATGGTGTCATCGGGGTGAAATGCCGTCTATAAACCTTTCACTTGTTCGTCCTTGCCGGTTTGCATGGTGTGAAATATGATCCGCCTGAAACATGTAGTGTTTTATTTTGAAAAGAAGACGGATGTTTTATTTTGTGTCTGTGCCCGACTTCCTTTCCCACACTGACTAATCTGTGCTGAATTAATGCGGCATGCTGCAGCATCCGGAAAAAATAGAACTCTTGCAACCAGCTGCGGAGTCCGGCGATCCGCAGCAGAGCAGAAAGAAGCCGGTGGAAATTGACACAATAACTTGAACGGAAACGATCAGCTGTTATCGGCGGATACGGCCTTTTCGAAGCCGTTCTGGACGCTGTGGAAATATGAGCTTCCTTAACATCTCCCAGAAGAGCTACATGTGTGAACTCAAACAGCCTCATTTTTCATTCAACTTAATATGTTCATTTTTCCTTCCAGCCCTCTTGAAACTTTTGCCAGAAGTTGAGCTGAGCAGAAGTCTGAGTGTGGCAAGGATGAGTCAGAAAAATTCATGAAATTTCAAGGGCAGGCTGCTCTGAAACTTTCTGGAAATTTTCAGCAGTGCAAGTGTGAAAAAATTCAGTTTAATGTGGAAAAAAAACCCTATGACTTACTGGCCATGTCAAACACTTGAATATGAACCAGTTAGAATTGAACTGATTATGCAAAGATATCCACAATATTATACAACATGGAGCTACAGAACCGAGAATGATCTGCATCAGTGTAAGTGGTCACAAAGGGAGGACTATCGTCTTAATTACCTTGAGGCATGAGCTGGAAAGGTCTGGCGCCTCCCAGGGAGAGTCTGCGATTGGTTACGACTGCTCCCTGCCCGTGTGATGGGGAGGGCCCGGCCCGGCCAAAACCCAGCAAGCTGCCACTGCTGCACCGCCGCACTGGTGTCGACAGCCTATTAAAACAAGGTTTAAGAGTCACTGCAGTCCACTAAGGTAATGTAAGTACAGAATTAAAGTTGCATTGCAGCATGTGTATCTGTGGATACTGACCGTGGTGAGCCATCGTGTTTTGCTGAATTGAGGTTCTGCTCCATGCGCTGGTAGTTCTGTAGCTGAGTGGGGACGGGGATAGGCAATGACTGACCATTGTTTCCATAGTTACCTCCCGAGCACTCGCTAGGCCTGCCAACAACAGAGAGCAGTGAGAGGGACGGAGAGTGCCAAGGGAAAATGTTAGACAAGAGGGGAGCGAAAATGTGTGTGTCAGACTTGTTTAACACTTTAACTAGAACACCAAATGTGGCAGAGTCGAAATGTTCTGTAACTGTCGCTGTTTTCAAACTTTTACACCGTTTGTTGAGTAAAATGAAAACAGCACTGTGTGATACTTCAGCTCAAAGACTTAATTACTGTATGCAGATAAAACATTGACATATACTAGTGCTCGTTGCTGCTGTTACGACAATACTCTCCAGACTGGTAGCATAAGGCGGCTGTCAGACAGGAGGTGGGCGGACCTTCCTGGCCACGCTGAGACCGTGGGCTTAATGAGCCGAGGTGTCCCCTGTTTCTGTTGGTTGTGGTTGTGTCTTTGCATCAAAAAAACAGAAAAAAACGGTCGTCTGACACTGAGGAGGAGTCTGGGACAAAAGCTGAGTGAGCTGGTCGGTGGAAGAGCACAGTGGCTTGATGAGAGAAGCTAAAGGCAGGTAAGATTTGCTCCTATTGTTATCAGCCGGCCATGTTACCAACTTTGTTTATGGCACAGACACGCCCTAGATGGTACTATAGACCTCAGGAGGTCACATGATTCATCAAACAGCATGCAGCCGATCGATAGAAGTGATATTTTGACTGTTTTGAAGTGTAATGTAGAGCCTGACACACCCCTGCTTTAGTGTATGAATCAAATTATTCAGGATATGTCATCACAATTAAACTGCCAAGTCCTCCATCATTAATCATTTTCACCAATCACTCATCTCTATGTTGTTACCTGACAGGACTTGGAGATCCACTGTAGGATGGCGAGGGCGGTGGCGTTTTGGCTTGACTACACAGACCAGCCGAAGCCAGAAGAGAGCTAATTAGAGAGGAGATGAAGCACAAGAGACATTCAGTCATTAAGATTTTTCAATTTGAACATAAAGCAGTGAATCTCTTTTCTTTTGTTGCTGTTGCTTTGTTATGTTAGAAAAAGTCAATTTCCCTCTTTTGTCAGCTAAAATGTCCAACAATATCACACGACTACGTTAAATAATTGTATCAGTAAACGAGCAAAACGTACCCGCTGTTCATCAGGCTGTCCTGCAGCACTTTACTCTCACATGCCAGCTCACCTGCTGGGAAACAAAAACACATTTTTCCATGTGGTACTGTGCACACTATTAAATAAATAACAATGAATGATTTTAACTTTTTAAACAAACACTGACAGAAAGATAGAGTAAAGTCCTGGGTTGTAATACTCTGCAAATGTAACACAAAAGCCTTTGATGAAAGAGCCAAGACTAAGAAAGAGCAGAACACATTTTTCACATTTTTTTTCCCCCACACACATATTAAAAACAAATGTTTCCTTACTGGTGAAGTTAGCGGGCACCATGACAAAGTCATCAGTATCACAGGAGGAGGAGTTCTTGCTGCTGCCGGCGCCTCCAGACGAGTCCTTGAGGAGAAAACCAGTGGCCTCCTGGGTAGGGGAGGCCAGTGCTTTCGCTCGCAAATGCTGAACCTCGGCGAGGGATTGCTGCAGAGATAGAGAAACGAATGCAGTGGATGAACATGGGAGAAAAGGATGAAATAGCAAACAGGCAGTCAGACATGGCACTTGGCTAGGATCTGTGACGGCACATAAAAAACAGTATCTGAGGCAGAGTCAGAGGAAAAGTGAGAAGCGGGGGGTGGGTTGTATGGGAATAAAAAACGAATCATACCGGTGGTGAGGCAAGGTGAGAGGTGGATGAGCTGCTACAAGAGCTGGCTGATGCAGAGCTAGGGAAGCACGTCATGGACACAGTAGGAGTTGCTGTAACAAAAAGCAACACATTCATTAAAAGAGCGCTACAATACATACAATGTGGTTTGGCTGAGTGTCAACAGAAATGTCCTCCGTTTACCAAAGAATACACAAACCCCTCACATGTCACAGCTTTACAGCGTTTTAGTCACCAAAGAAAAGAAACATGTTTGTATGGATGCATCACAATCTGCCCGGCTAAATACAACCAGAGCTATTACGTCAAATACTCAGGCTTATCATAATATTATTTTAAGGGTTTACTTTATTTTGTGAAATGTGTGTGTGCACTACAGTTACAGTCTTCAGCTTAAGTTGTACTGAAATTATCCAGCGGCGCTCTATAAAGAAGGATAATGTTCCTTTTAAACTTACTCTTTTTCATGGATGAGCTGGCCTCCAGGAACGAATGAGAGAAAAACTCATCTAGCAACAAACACAAGAAGAAATAGAATCAGTGGGAGGCGGTGAAGCAGAGCGACATTTCCTACATTAAAAATCCATGATCACCCACAGTGTTATGCACAAAGTGATAGAAACAGACAGACACAGCCTTTTCTTTGTGGGTCTTATTTTAGCCTCCACCAGTCCTCTCTGAAACATAAACTTCGCTGTCATTGGAATATTCATACTACCTGCTGGCTATTGTGACAACACACGCAACTTATTCATTTGGATCTGCGACAACAACTGTGTTTGTCTGTTTCTTTGGATTTCGCTCGATTTGTTTGATGTTCACTTACCAAAATCCATACGGTCCTTGTGGTTTCTCTGCAGCAGACCCAGCAGCAGGTGCCTCAGGTGGTTTGACGTCTCTCTGGGGATGCTAAAATCACAAAGTATTGCATAATCAGAGAAATACAACACTTGTAGCTACACTTGATGTACTTCTGCGTTTATCTTTTGAAGCTATAATTCACAGTCTCCCAAGAAAATGAACGCCAACATTTCCAAATGAACAGATAATCTGAATTTCTTTTACATTTCCCTAAAGATGAGCATTACTTATGATTTCATTAGGCAGCTGTGATAAACTGAACTGTCAAGTCATCGCAGACTTTGTGTTCTAAAAGATGAGGTTGTTAAGGATTCATTGGCAGCTTTTCATCTCTAACACAGAGAGTGAATTAACAGCTGTTCAATGGTTACAGCCACCACATTTACGCAGCTGTAATTTGCATCGTCTCTGTAGATGGTAACCTGATGTAAATTTCAGACTATTTTTTTTTTATCAACTGTTATTTATTTTAAAAAGTTATCATTAAAATTAAAAAAATAAAGTTAAATGAATAAATAAATTTATAAAATGAATAAATTTCAGATTTTATTTATCTACTTATTTATTTATATTTCTTATGTAATTTTAGTTATTTTAAAAAAGTCATTATTAAAATAAAAAAAATAATAAAATAAATACATTTTAGATTTTATTTATCATTTATATTTCTTATGTAATTTTATTTATTTAAAAAAAGTTGTTATTAAAATAAGATAATAATAATAATAATGATAATAAAATAAATACATTTCAGATTTTAAAAGCACCGCAGCTAACAAAACATAGAGGCAGAATTATTTATCAAGAGCTTGGGTCAGAGCATTAGTTTAGTTGTTTTTGTTTCTCTTTGAAAGCATAATTTCTCATTTCCTCTTTTTTAAAATGTACAAAAAACATTTTGGAAACCACATGATGAATTTTTAAACTTCACTTTTTTCTGTGTGTGTTTTCCAAACATCAATTTATTACACCAAGAATCATGACCATGCTGCTAGTGATAAACCTTACTTGGGGCTGAGAGTCTTGTTTTTTTCATAAAACAGACGGAGGTCCTGTGGACTGCTTGCCTGAAAATAAAAAGATTTAGAGACAGTTATAAAACATATAAACACATATTTAAAATAATGTTTTAGCCTACTATATATACTAAAGATTTTCAAGATAAAGTGGCCGGTGAGTGTATATGCTTTAGATGCTTTTCCCACATGTTTTTAAAAGCTTATTGAAGAAGCACAGGTTGTAGCTGCTCTGGTTGTTCCAGAAATGCTGCAGGACCAGTCTAGAAAAGACGCTCTGGAGGATGGTATGTGTTTCATCTTCCAGAGCGTCGTAAAAGTCAGCTGAAGCAAATCGTTGTGTTTTTTTGCTCCAGCTCATCTTTCACATGATGCAGCGAGAGAGGAGGAAGCTTGTTTGAGCACTTCTGACAAACAGAGCCAGCTTGGTGTTAAAGGGAGCAAAGAATCTGGTGTTTATACTCTACGTTTTACTTCTATCATAAGTGACTGTAAATGTCCGGATCAATATTTACTATCTTGTACAAAAACTACGAGGACACTTAAAGCATAATGTCCCCAACACTCCTGACTGAGATTCAAACAGGCAGCCAGTCTCTAATGCACTGTTACATACTCATCCATCAAAACCTTTATACTTTATTTGGTAGATCTAGATTTGAAATTCAAGAACAGGTAAGTTCACATAGTTAAATGAAGATCTGAATCACTTACAATACAATGTCATTTGTTTATGTCATGTGTTTACCTGAAAAGGAGCCTTTCCAGTCAGACACTGAAACACTATAGTTCCTATACTCCACAAGTCAGCCTTGGCATCGTAGTTTTGGGACATGATGACCTCAGGAGCCTAGTGAGAGAGACAGATTTAGATGTAAACATGTTGTTCAATACATTTATTAATCAACATTGGATTTCGCCGCCTATTTGTACCCCTTAAACCTGTATGCATTTGTAAACAAGTGCTCACCATGTACATAGGTGAGCCACAGAGTGTCGCAGCCATCATGTTGTTCTGAAGGTACCTGGCGAAACCAAAGTCCGCTTCATAGAGGGTAAGATGGGGGAAGGAGAAAAACGGGAGACACAAAAAGAAGAGTTCACATGGGTCACTAGATGCTGCTGCTGCAGGAAAGCAAATCTTGAAGAAAACTGCAGATTAATTAAACTCTAGAATAAAGAAGAAATGCTCTCTAACAGATGTTTGCAATAAAAATGTGCCAATGGTACAAAACACCTTCATAAAAGTCATCTATAATCCTCTGGTATATCTAAAAGACCTATTAAACCTCTGTGTGTTTGTAAAACTTGAGTAAAGGAGTGTACAGTATGCGTGTGAACGGTCTGTTTGTGACTATGTCTGAGCTGGTTTTACCACAGTCATGAGGATTATAACATTCTGCAGTGACTAGGACTGGCACAAGCCTCACACTTTGCTCCCACAGGCTGATTACCTCTCTCCAGAGAAACAAGAACTAACGGGCTTAAGGATTAGCAGAGTTTCCAAACAGCTGAACAAACACTTGCTCTGTATATATTAGATTATGACACTAATAATTATGGTGATTTCTTGCTAAGTCAGAGACATTTATGGTGTTTCTGCGTGAACCTATTTTCCCTGTCTCAGTATTTTTGTGTTTTATCAGACAAGGCCTGCTAACCTTACTGAGGGAGGAAATGGAGTTCTTAAAAATCTAATTAATTTGCTCAAACCAGTTCAAAATCTAGGTGCATGAATGACCCCGGGGAAATCATTATAAGGCCCTTTTAGAGTGAAACTGTTTGTAAAGAGGTTGATTAGAGTGTAGGGATTTCAATGTTCTGCTTCATGGGATACAGCCAGAGTTTGGTCCTTTCACTTGACCCTTTCGATGTCTATTTCTGGTGTTTCCAAAGTGGATCAATAGCATTTCGCCTCTGATCCATAGTGTTATAAACAAACATATACTTGCTGATGTTCAGCGTGTTTCGTGCTCATGGATTCTCACACCTACCGATCTTGATGCAGGTGTTGGTGGAGTGTGACTTGCGTCCAGGTGGATTGGAGAGAAGAATGTTCTGGGGTTTTAGGTCCCTGTGGATTATCCCTTTGGCTTGTAGGACCCTCATGGCTCCTGCAATCTGCTGCAGGAAAACCCGAATAGTGTCTTCACTGAGTGTGCCTTTAGCTGCAGAGGAACAAAGGGCGGATGAAGGGAAACATTTATTCACACGTTCACTTTGGTTCACTGGATGTGAAGAGGGTTTTTTTTATTTTCATGTCACACAGGACTGAGAGAAAACCTGACTTCTAAAAATATCCACTGGGTGACTGTTTTCTCACATCACTTAACTCACACCTCCTGATCCCTGTCCCTCCCTCCCTCCTTCTAATCATCCTCCTATCAGGCCATGATACAGTGTGACTCTGTGTCAGACTCTCTCCCTGGTCTTAGATTCTTTCTGGTCACACCACCCTCCTGGCAGAATTCTTAAAGCGAGACTCAGACTTGACTCTGACCAAGAGAAAAAGTCTTTCAACCATAACAGCCAGTGCTCCAAAAACTTTATAACCTCATAGGGATTATAATTACAGTGGACGACCTGCCTCACAGACAGAGTAAATAGTGGGTCATGTGATGGAAAAGGAACTTTTTTTTTTACATTATAATTTTTGGTGTTGGACCGTTAGCACTTGAGCAATAAATGTGTCTCTCTGTTTCGGCTTTGGGCTATTTCCATATCAAGATTTTTCTTTCACATTTGTACATTATCCATATTCTTGGCAGATCTTCCTCTTTTTGTCAAGAGAGAATTCTGAGCAGACCTTAAAAATACTTTTTTTTTTGTTTACAAATTTAAGCTATAAAGGCTTTAACTGATTTACAGTGGAAAGATATGAGGTTCATTATCTCTGTCCTTTTGTCACTTGTATTTCTTTTATGCTTTTGTGTTTTTATTTCATTTATTTTATATCATTTTAAATGTCTTTTAACAGCTTTTATTTATTTCCTCTTTATGTTTTTTTCTGCAGTGTTAGCTCTTTAAATGTTACTGTGCAGCACTTTGGTAAACGTGAATGTTTTGTAAAATGTTCTATATTAATAAAGATGATTGGATTGGATTATAGAGGTAGACATTGTAGCAGGCTCACTGTATGTTGTTGTTGTTGTTGTTTGACTTACAGTGTAAATAGTCAGCAAGGTCTCCCCCATTGCAGTACTGAGAATTAAAAGAGAGACAACGAGAGAGAGAGAGAGTGAGAAAACATTGAAAAGAAAAATCAAGAGTAACATGAGAAGACACAGGCGAAAGTGTCTGACACCAACTGTTTTCTGAATGGACATGAAAGCAAAAGTTTTCAGGGCAATGATAAGCAGAAAAGTGATTTACAGTATTTAAAGATGACTCTCAGGAAAAGGCAAGGTGTGCTGCAAAAGGTAGGGGTGTCCCGATACGATGTTAATATCAGATATTGGTCCGATATCAGCAAAAAAATGAATATCAGATTATATTGGCCTGCATCCAAAATCTCTGATACAAGCAGTCCATTTCAGACTCTGCTCTGGCACCTTTATCTAGCAGCACACTGATCCAGCATGCACAGCCTACATAATCATAACAGTGTGTACTAGAGTACTAACAAAGTAGAGAGGAGTAGGAGTGATGCTCGCCGTGTGGCAGTATTTTTCGTTAAACTCCGAAAAAGACGTTGCAGCTGAGTGCAAAACTTGTCATGCACAAGCTTGTGCTAATATCAGATCAATATCGGTATCAGCCAGTGCTGAAGGCTACAATATTGGTATATATTGGAGGTAAAAAAAAGTTGTATCGGGACACCCCTAGCAAAAGGTAGTTCTTGTGTCTGTTTCCTAGCAAGAAGCACGTCACATTTATCTGAATGGTGGATTTATATCCTATTAATGAGGCTACTAATACAGACAACATATCAACAACAATCAAGCTATACTTTAAAAGAATCATACATATGCATGAAGCATGGGTATAAGCACCTAAAGTAGCTATAAACAGCTGTTGGACATGTATTGTACCTGTGGCTCTCTATTATGTAAATATTTTTAGGGCCACAGCATTTGGATGTCAACTTGTGGTCATTTGGCCCCCTTGATGTCTGAGGACAAAGCTAATTATAGTCCAGACCCTGTCTGCAAAAGCTGAGACAATACAGCCCTGAGCAAACAAAGCAAACATCAGAGCGAGCTTACCTCCATTACCAGGTACACTGAGCTGGCAGTTTCCTACAGAGGGAAGAGATAAGAGAGGAGGTAAACAAACACATGTCAGTGACAGACACTGAAGGAACAGGTGGTGCCAGTACCCAAGATAGCAGGATGGTAAAGGATGAACCACTGAATAAAAAGTTTTGATTTTTTGGAATAAGCAAAAGGAGACATGAGGAAGCAGAAGTGAAAAGCCTTAAAGAGCAATATACTGGGGAAAAAAGTGATTGAGTAAAAGTTTGAGTCTTTAATTTAGTTTGAAAAGCAGTTCATTAGAAAGTCGAAGCATGTCTGGCATCATTAACTATCTATTATACTGTATTTTCACACAACCAAAAAGCAATTAGAGAACAGTTGGCTCTGCTGTCAACATCATGATGAGAAATAAAGATAAATCATAATCAAATGAGAGACAGCGCATTTGCAAACTCTCTCAAACTGCTAACTTTAAAGACCCCCAACTCTACCACCAAACAGCTGTTAATGCACAATCCAATCTCATGTGTTTGTGAGTGCACACTGGAGGAGTTAAGAGCTCCAACATTTTATGAACATCTGTTTTCCTCCCTCCTCTTCAATCCTCTTAACCACAAACAACTTTCTGAAGCACTAGTTTGGAGAAGACGAAAACAGAGAGTTGCCTGTTGGTTGAAAAAGCTCTCTTATCACACAGCAACAGATGACTGCAGTCTCTCGCCCTGACCTACGTATCTTGTCCTATCCCCCCCCAGTCAGAGCAGAGGCCAGGCTGTTTTGTGTAGTTGAGCTGAGTCAGGCCTTTTAAAAATGGTTGTCTTTGGCCGCCCTATTGAACATCAAGAGTGACCAACAAGCCAACCAACCAGTCAGTTTTAGTCAGGGGGCCGAGCGTCTGGTTTCCGAAGATTGTCTCCGTTTCGTTTATTCAACAGCATCACACTAAAAGAAAAAAAAAAACTTCAGGAATATCTTAGAAGTTTGTCATGATTCAAGTTTTGTAATGCAACCGCTTGTGATAGGATACTTAGATCACCCCGTCACTTTTGTAGGAACAGCTATTTCCTGTTTCACAAGGTGGAGTTTCCTAGATAATGACAGCACAGCGGCTCTATGTTCCTCTGTGAATAAAAATACATGTCAGAGAGGGAAACATTACATTAGGGCCGAGATGTTCAAGCTAGAGAAAGAGAAAACTTCACATTTCAGGAATGGGAAGACAAATTTGAGAGACTTTGAGTAAAAAGAGATGCAATGCAAAAATCAAAGACAGTGCATCTCTCAGATGTCCAGTGTTTGGTTTGGTTTGGTTTCAGTTTCTTCCTGACCTGATTAGATAGCTGGACAGCCAGATCCCCTGCAAAGAGCACCACCCCACCTGTTGCTGTGCAATAACAAACCTGTAATCTTAGAGCCCGGCTCAGACTCACTTAAATGCTCAGAAAGAGGTGCCACTCTGAGACAGAAGACAGATAGGATATATATATATGACTCAAATAATCTGCATAGGAGCCCATGGACAGAGCTGGTTAAGTGTCTTTGCAGCCCATACAAGGTGACTGGGCTTGGATGGTTGAGCAGTTAGCATTGCTCAGCATGTGAACGTATGCATCATTAGTCAGGACATTTTTGCATGATGACTAAGCCATCTCACGGAAATAGATAAGGGTGGAGGAATAAAGGTCAGTTTTAATCAATGAAACTAATATCCAGGTCTAATGATAAAGCATTTGTTCCAACTTCCCGGTTTGGATATCAGGTTTAATCTGGAAGGAAATACAAGTACGTACATGCAGCAAAAGCTAAAAACACAGTAACACCACAAACATCTCTGTTGTTCTGTGTAGGGATTTAGAAAAGATGCAGATCGATATTCCTGCAGCAACCCTTGCATTATTAAATCCTATGATGTTTTTATTTTTTGCTTAATAATACAGAGCAAATGCTTTCAGCAACAGAGCACCTTTTTTTCCCAGGACTGACCTGCTGCTGGACTAAGCCGTACTGAAACACATTACAGCGAGCATGCTTTACATGCCTCTGAGACACATGGCAGTGTGTTAGTCAAAAACATAAATTAAACTGATGAGTTATGTGTGCATTTTTGTTGGGCCAAGGAGTCAAACTCTCCCTCTAAAATATCTAACAGCTTCAGGTATCGGATTGGTTTCTTGGCTTCATGTATGAACATCACTAAGAGCGTGTTTTTATTACCTGACACAGCAACACCTGTCTAGTGTAACACCATATCAGCTTTATGAGTGTAAATTATTCTAGCTACACCCCAGGCTGATAACTCGTTCTCAGTAAAAGTGACGACTTTTCACCAAGATACTACACTTCCCAGAAAGCCCTGACGAATGAGACTGACAGAAACCGCCCATGTGACCGTTGACAGAATGTAAACAGAGAAGAGGATGATGATTCAGCGCAACAAGACACAGAGGTAGAAGTATTTACTGAAACTTTCAAAGGCTTTGCTAAACATTGGAAAAGCAGAGAGAAACATGCCTGAGCGTGAAGAACCAGAAACGATTTTTACAACAAACAGATGCAGCAGAGGCTCATTTAACAAGCAGGGAAAACAAAGCTGCATGAGGCAGAAGTGGGTCCCGTAGAACACACACACATCTTAACAACCCATCTGCTCTGGTTTGTGAGCATAGGCTGATGAGATAACTAGGACATGGAGAGGTGTGCAGTAATTCTGTATGTAAACAGCAGACTTGACAGCGAGCCGTCAGACTGTTTCTGAGATGATCTCGATGTTTGTGAGTAAAGTGTTACATACCTGAAAGTCCAGTAAGGCAACTATGTTCTCGTGTTTCAGTTCCTGCAGAAAAGAGGGAGACAATTATTCATCGAACAGTTTGTCCTGCATGTTTTACATGTTTAACCTTAAGTTGCCTTGTACATTCAATATTTACAGATCCATCAAGTCTGCAGGAAACAAGGGAGAACATGAACTTTCCCTGTGACATCAATAGGCTCATATTTTACCCCGACAAACATTAAATAACCTCTGCAGGCATGTCCTGAATCAGTCACTTCTAAAACTACTGAATGAAGCACACTGATGAAAGACTTCCAATTACCAGGGTGAAATTTTTGATAGAAAAGTCACAGCAGGTATTAGAAACAAAGAGCTTTTGATTTTAGGACTCGTTTCAGATCAGACAAAGAACTACAAAGAAAAACCATTTCACAATTATCATGAAGCACAGATTGAAAAACTGCCAAAATGACATGAATATTTATCCATTTCACACCAGCATGTGGACATTTTTGGAGGATGAGCTCTGGACCTTGCATTTACACCACTAGCATCAGCTAGCTGTACACTACCCTGATTAAAAAATGTAAGTTTGATGGACAACAAGGGTATTTAGATAGATTGAAAACATCTTGGTAGCATGGTGGAGAAGATGACTTAAAGACAGGTGAGTTTAGACAAAGAGTTTAGATTACAGCTCATATGCACCCCACGACTTACTGTGTCATTGACCATATCTACTTTTAAAGATTTTTTCCCACACATCTTAGCTTTTTTTTAAATATATTGTTTAGGACTTATTGCACCATACTGCACAGTAGGGCTGGGCGATAAACCGAAAATTTACAACAATTTACTACAATAACCGACGTCATTTGCCCATATCGGTATATTCGGTGTCAAAAAAATAAATAAAAGTTGGTTTTGGATGTTAGTAGGTAGGGTATGGTCTCATGTACCTTTAAGACACTGTCCTACATCAGAGACGTGACTCCACCCCATCCAGTCCATAACAAAAAGGAAAAGACAGGTGAGCGACGGCTGAAGTAGACAAAGTTAATGTGGGAAGGGGTGAGCAGCTTGTGGAGTAGTTATCATCCATTTATTGTCATAGGTGAACTGCTCAATATATCGTGATATTGATTTGAGGCCATATTGCCCAGCCCTACTGCAGAGTTTCTTTTATTAAGACTTTAAGAAAATATAACATTATCATAAAAAGGCACCTTTTCGAAAGATTATTTGCTGACTTACCTTGAGGATTTTGATCTCTTTCCCCAACAGGGTCTGAGATTTGGCCAGGTTCTTCTTGTTTATGCACTTTACTGCGACCTCCCAGTCATGTTTCTGCAAAGACACAACATGGGTAGTATGTGTAGCATTTGAAATATGTCATAAACAACATAGTTTGGGGTAGCCTGAAAGTCAAAATCCAATATTTTGACTGGTTTGGACTTAAAAAATGCAACTGATAAATGCAACTGTGGAATATAGTTGAAGGAAGCTCTGTTTGGTGAAGCTGGTTAGAATGAGTTCCTGATGGCACTTGTTATTGATGACTTATCTTCTGCTTTGGCTGTAATCAGCCAGGCAGTCTGGTTGCTATGGCAGTGGTATAGAGAGCCAGTAAGTGTAACTGTACAAGAATCTAGCTCACAAACCCCATTGACATTGCAATATCTGTCATTTAATGTCATAACCTCAAAAGGAAGTTGACAAGTAGAGCAGCAAAGATGCTACAGTCTATATTTTCTGTTTAGTATAAAGGCTACCTCACTAACTTCAATAAGCTTCAATCGTGTGTAAAATAATTGTAAACCTCAAATAATTCATATTCCGTGATTACAGGAGTAGGACATGTTCAAACATGTTCACTAAAAACCTCAGCATGAGGCTCTTTAATGGAAACAATACATCTCTGCTGCTCCCCATTTCATTTCAACACGATTGAGGACGTGCATAATCCCTTTTTTAAAGCCTACATTACAAAAAGACCAAGAAATGAATGCAATGAGGCCTGTTTCTACAAGTGCTCCAATGCATTTCATCATTTTGTCCATAACTGCCTGCTTTTTTGAGAACATCCTGCAGGAGCTCCCAGGCCTCTTAAGGCCGTACAATGAAAACAAATACACCAGATGGCCAATAACACGCAGCTCTCGGCCAATAAAGCGAACAAATCATTAACAGAGCCTTTACATCCTTCACGTTTTCAATGAAATATCTTTGAGGGGAAAAAATACGAGTACAAAAGGAAACAACACTCACCTCTCGGTGTCTGCCTTTGAAGACGACAGCAAATGCGCCATGTCCTATCAGGTCCTTCCGACTGAACTCAAATTTGCCCACCGTCTCCATAATGTGCCAAAGTCTGATATTATCCTACTTGGACTTGGAGAAAAGACCAGGTGGTCTTGGGTCAGTCTTCTTGATAGCAAGTGCTCCTTGTTCCTCTGTCAAGTGAGGGCAGCAGCAGCAGCAGGGATGTCCACCCCCTCTTTCACTTGCCATGGGCTGCCTTCCTGAGAACAAACTGTCCTCTTCTCTCATGTTCGCACGCACAAGATTTTAGGAGTTTAACTCCTAACAGAGCTCTATGATGGTTTCCATCGCTGTCCACGAGTCCGAGATAAAGTTAGCTCACTTTAAAAGATGCTATTGCGCGAGCTTAGCTGCAGCTGTCTTTGACGTGCCACCTTAACAAGCAGCTCGCTGCGTTTTGTTTATATACAGGGTTCCTGACTTCTAACGTCCAAATCGACCTCGCGGCAAACGGGCACTTATTGTCACCTCAAACACGTTTTTTGTACCTTATAAGAAGAAAACAGCAAGAATATCCAACGTTTTTTCTTGAATTTAGAGGCAGACGAACCAGAAAGTCACAGCATCGACAGCTCCAACAAAGCAGACAGCGTCAAGCCTCCGCATGAACAGCGCATGCGCGGAAAGCGTTTACAGCTGTTATGTTGACGTCAGAGGAGCAGGCTCCCGCAGCAGCAGCAGGAAAGTGTGATGTTGGTTTTGGCCTCGATCAGAATAGTTTGGTTGTCGCCTCAGCGATATAATTCACGGTGAACATTTTCTTCTGTTAAAGGGACGATAAAAACGACGAACACCCAGCGGGAAAACATTGTAAACTCCTCTAAAGTTAGTCTTACCATCAGGGCCGGCTCTACCTAAATCAGTGCCCAAGGCAAAATACCCCCCCCCCCCCCCCCCAGCAGCAAATGTTCAAGTAAGTAAGTAGAGCTGCCAAAAGAACGCGACAGTACGAAATATTGACGCGCCTGACAATACACAACAAACCCGATGCGATTTTGCGACTATGCGTCTCGCCTCCTTTGCCTCTGATTGGCTTGAAAAGCTGGAAACATCATCACACGCTCAAGCCAAATGGTCAGCACTTATGGCCAATTAGAGGCGATAAGATAAGCACATGAAACTATGGTAACAACCGTTAGCTTACGTTAGCACAGATGAAAGTTAAAACAAAGACGTTTAGCAAACTGTTAAAGCACACAAACTATCATCATATGAGAAATCCGACGCTATGACTCGCCACAAGTTGTCCCTTAGGTCATTATCTTTGTAATGTTTGTGTCTTTTATCAAAAAGCACTCTGTTAAACAATCAGCCGGTCGGCCATGTTGGATACACCGTTGAATCAAACGTCGCAACAACACGCAATCTGATTGGTCAGAAGTGGACATACAGTATGCAAAACTTTTTATCTTTTTTTTGATAAATTTTTACCTCATTCTAACCACTGCTGGAAAATACCATTGTAGAAATAGTAACACATGAACAGCCCCTTTCTCCTATGAAATATACAATTTACGCTAATAATATCATGAGGCAAAGTGTTTTCTGACACAGGCCGGCATTTTTACACACTTATCATATGGTTCAAAGTGGGTAGTTTTATCCAAATGTAACTTGAATCCTGATTTCTCTAACTTAAGCAATAATGTTTATATTGCACACAGACAAGAATTACCTACTGCAGTCTAAGGAATTTTAGGGATAAAATCCATGTCAATGAATTTGAGGTAATCATTTATCATTTGGAAAAAGGATAAAAAGGTTGCTATGTATCTTTCTACCATGACCTTCTGGTTTTGATTTGTGTTTAATGTTTGAATGGAGAAAAGTCCAGTGAGAGGATGAGACAGCAGACAAGAGTGGTTGAGATGGTTTGTAAAAATCGAGGACAAATTGAGGGAGTCCTGGAAAAGATGACATCAGAGAGGTATGGAGCAGTCGCTGCTGGAAGAACCATTTAAAAAAACTGAAAGTAAGGACTAAAAGCAAGATCTAAAGGGCTCCACTACAAGATAGTACCCGACACACACATTATATGTGATATAAAATTCCCACAGTCACCTCAATTTGTGTCAGTGTCCAGAATTATGTAAGCTGCATAATAACCATTTAATCATCTTCGGCTTTCTTGGGAGTAGGCAGCTCTCCAAGGGCTCTTAAAGGCATAAAAATAGCAGCTATTTTAGCAGTGGAAAGAAAAAGCCTGCTTATTTTTTCTCTTCATTATTTTTTTGCAATAGGTCCAAGTGGAAAAAAATGCCCACATTTTCCAGTCTAACTGCCTTTTGTTAAAATATGAATGCACTGTTTCAACTTTTTGTAGTTTATATTGCTTTCATCTTTTTTGACAATTGACATTGATACTGGAGGATACCTTTCAGAACCTGCGCTCAACCAAGGAGCAACAAAGTCTGGTATGTCTGAATTTTTTGCAATTTTAGCTCTATTTTTTCATATTGTTGTTGTGTTTTGTGAGCTGCTGATGGATACGTCTGCGGGGAGAAGAGTTTACTCAAAAGAATAGCTTTTTTCAGTGAGACAGAGCAAATATCAAACACTACATCCAATTCCAGCAGTAATTTGGAGGTGTTTTCGTGGTTGCTGCATGTATTCTTCTCTTGTAATATCAGGAGACTTCAACCAAGTCACCCTCTTCTCTCACGTATATCCACTCAGTTTGTTAACTGTCCTTCCAGGGAAAATTTTTCACAAGATTCCAGACAAATTAATTTGCCTTTGGGGACAAATAAAGTTCTTGTATCGCATTTTATTGTATTGATTGCGGGCTTTACATTTCCATAATGTGCAATTTGCCTCTTAATCAGGGCCACTAGCTTAAGCATTTTCGCTTTTTAAATGTCAGCAAGGAGTCTTTTGTTGGCTTTGTTTAAAAACTGCTTTATAACTTAATTATAGCTATTATCATGCTTTTAAGATCACAGTTTAGTTCACAATAAAAGTCAAACTATCCATCTGTGTGCCCTGTTAAATGTAAAACACTCCATTAATTGTATGGGCTTCTCAAATTAGAGAGTTTAGACTCATATAAAACATCATTTCAAGTGATTAATTGATCTTTTGATTGCCTTGATATTAAAATCTTCTCTAGTCAAGGACTGACTCTGAATGTGCACCTAGAATAAAAACACAACACTATCAAAAAGACCAGGATATCAATTTACAGTATAAAATGGCAGAGTATTACAGTACAGCAGAGTCAGCCTTTTCTGCACAACATATTTTTGTTACAAAATGGGTCGTTTGATGAAATTAAGTAAATAGCCTATCTTGAACACAAAAAGATAAGCCTGTTCATTAGAGCAACGACTGGGTATTTGTCTGGATGTTATCTCACCAGAAGAGGGCGACAGAGGACAACAAAAGAGTGCAAGTCTACAGCGTTGTGACGGCATTGTTTACTTTTCTTGGCACAGTAAACCCAATATGATTGGAATTAAGAGTGTGAAATGAAATTATCAGCATAAAATGGGACAATGTCTTCCAGTCCTCAACATAATAATTCTCCTTGAACACTGAACAACCTTAGCTATGAATATTTCCTCACAAAGTGTCATCTTTCAGTGTCAGTATCTTGAGGTGAACGCCTGCAAACACAGTCTAAAGTTTTAAAAATACACCTTTTGGCAAGTTGAGTTGCAGTAGAAACATTGTTATCACATTGTCAAATATAAATAATTCACAGGAACATTACTTGTTAGGAGTGATATTTTTCAGAGGTTTTGGCACATGGTAGAGACACCTGTTATATCACCCTAAAGCATCCTGCTCCCAGACCTCTCTCCCTGCCAATCTGAACTGCTGAACTACCGCATCTTGATATGAAGCGAGATAGCAGCCAAGTGTTGTATAATACTGATGCTTTATTGTCGCGGTGCATGGCATCATGAATTAGTCATTGCGGTTTTCCAGAGCCAAGAATCAGGCTTCATTCACGGAGCTGTGCAGGGCTGCATAATGATGCGTCTCTGACAACAGGCTTTTCATTCTGTGAGGTATTTATGTTTATGATAATATGTCAAGTCACTGTTAGCTGTGCTGCTTTTCAATGCATGTCTCTGAGTCAGAAAGTTTGACTATGCAGGGACAGTTGGTATATTTTGCTGTTAGCGGCCCACCAGCCCCAGTCACAGGTGTCCACTCTGCAGGGGTGTTCTCTGGTTCTGAATATTTTAACTGCTCTGTGGTTCCCTGCAAATGATTGATCGGTTCTCCCTGGCCTGAATGAAGTCTCTGCTCGTGACAGCTGGTGCAAAGGCCCTCCGGAGTTCAGTCTGGTTAGCTAAATGGCTCTATAGCCAGCAATGCACACTGCATACAAATTGAATTTAGATTACATATGTAACTAATGGATTTAACTCAGTAACGTAGCACACCGTGTGTTTAATATCTGCAACCCTCAAGTATCTGCAAGTCCTTATTGGACATATGAAGAGATATAGCAATTCATCATGTCCATGCAGGACAATGATCAGTTTAATCAGGACACAGTATGTATAAAACATTAGTTAAGCCGTGTTTTACCATTCAAATGATCTCTTCAAGGACTGGTGTCTATTGCTTAAAGGACATTATCTCATTAGCACAGTTAAGTCACATTTTTCCTTTATAAATCCTAATTAACTTTTTGACTTATTCTAAAATATCAGTTCATTTTGAATGTATCATATTTCGCAGTACGCCATTACAGTCTTTATCTGAAGTACAAGGAATGAAGGTCTATTGAAGGTGATGGAGAAACACAGACATACACACAGATAGTACATTACGGGGACAATCACACCAGCAAGGACTTAACGGGGTCCACCATGAAGGTGAGGGTGTCTTTTAGTCAGAATGGACTTTTTTATTTAATGAGGAAAGGATCCCTTACAGAGTAGATAAGCCTCCATGAATAGAGTATAAGCAGGCTGATTTTTCCAAATGGGAAAGACATAGCTGCAGATTAATGTGTGTGCTTTGTAGTTGCCCAGTTCTTCAAAAGGCTTGCTCTAGATTTAAAAACCTGCTTGGATCTC